CCAGAAGATGAGATACTATACATTGTACGGCGTACTTGGTCTTTTAGAATTATACTGTACAAATTTTAACTAATAAATTTAATCGATGTTATTTTTCAACATAAGTTTATTACAAATGAAATGTACAACAAGTGAGCTGACACATATAAGCCCTTACAGTCAGTATTTACCAGTTTACAGAAAAGTGATTGTCATTCTGAGGCACTTTCACATACATTTGCTTTTCGATGGTCGGACGTAGGATGGGGTGTGACACATTACCACGACGGATATACTTTGCTTAAGATATCTTTAGTGGGAAGTAACAAGTTTAAAATGAAAGTTTCCTGGCACCGAGCTGGTGGTGATTACTTTGCATTTCTAGAAGTTGAACGATTTTATTACAGGAGGTGGAAATGCTTTTATATATCCTATGATTCTGGCGTGGTCAATACACATGACTTCTGTGCTTGGTGATTACTGCACAATTAAAACGCTGTCCAAAAAAATGTTATTTAATCTCCGAGACTCTCGCTCTCGCAGCACCCTGCGAGAGTAAGGACTTCGAACGCGGAATAGCGCAGTGCTACAACCTAGTGGCCGGCGAACGCAACTCCCAGACTTCGACCGCGGGGGTTTCGCCATTTGCGGAGAGGTGACTCTTGAGACACATCCTTTCTTTTGGTGGACACAAATATCTTGGGTCGGTCGATGGATTTTCGCGGACTGGCACATATACTGTGTTGAACAGGTGTTGAAACTGAAGGAGGGACGGAGCAACATGCAAGAAACAAAAGCTCTTTACTTGGTTAACCCAAAGGGTAGAGCCGAATAAGGAGGTTAAAAGTGCCCCCAAACCAAATTGAAAATCGCAATACTCATATGAAAGAGAATAAAAAATGTCGTAGAGTCCAAAAAGATCAGCCTCCTAGGGCAATCTGCTACAGAAATACAATAAGAAACGTGTTTTTAATATTTTATTTTTTCTCAGTTTCTATTGCACGCATTAGGCTGAAAAAATGGGAAAAACAGAAAAATAGTCGAATTTGAAGGTATTTTTGTCAACAAATTTTAACACCAATTTTAATCATGGCAAGTTTGAAAACTCCGGGATTTTTTTCGCTCGATTTGTCCAATTTGAACGGGCCCGGCGGATAATGTGGGTATGATTGGTAGCTGTACCAACACGAAAAATTCCGAGTAGGTGAAAAACCCAACCGGAATTTGCGATACGAGAAATATTCCATAAACGTCAAATTCCAAAAATAAACGTATTGCGTCGTCTCAAAACGTTAATGCAATCAACTATGGTGCAAGATCGGCTCAACAGTAGTGGGATTTTACATGTTTATGGCGATATGACAAACTCGATTGTCAAAAATTGTTAAATGAGTTTTGATCCCAAAATGCAAAGCGCAACGCTGATTTTACATTGCAAAACTGAAAGGCAAAGTTACATAAAATAACTAGTGTATAAATAGTGATAACTATTTGTTGACAATTTAATGAAAAAGATGATAATTTGGAAAAATTAGGTTTTGTAATTTTTCTTTCTGATATATTTTCGGTGGGAAAGGAAGGAGATAGGGCGATCCCCCGGGTCAACTACCCATTCGAACTTAATACCAATTCAGATTCACAGATGATATCAGTTTATTTATCCATTCTAATCTGCTCTACTTCACGACTTAAATCGATGGTCCAGGCCACGATAAAAGACCTTAGCCATAGACAACAGCAGGAAAAAACCCCTTAAGCGTACGCACAGCGGATGCCATGAACGAAGCAGCATACGTCACGGGAATTAAAACCGTATATTCTCCAGGGTTAATAACTTTTAACCCATTGTTTGTAAAATCAGTCACAAGTTCCGATTTGTGTTGGTTAATTGTCTGCTGTAAATCAAATGAGACCTGAAAGGTGCATTGTCATCTAGCTTTCTAACAATCAAATGAGCAACGTAACGCCCAAGGTAATCTGTTGTTTCGTTAATAGGTTTTCAAAAAAATTGAATCTTCACTATCTTTTCTTATTTTGGAGATTGAATATTATTTAACAGGCTGTAAATTTGTTTTGCAAAGAGAGACTTGGAAGGAATCGGCATATGGTAATTATTTTTACAAGAACTCTATGAAAAGTGACTTTACGATAGTTTTGGAAGGAGCATTTGCTGCGACAAAGTCACGACATTAATAAGCACTAAACTATTTTTGTTGAAATCTCTGTGGCTCTCATCAAAAGTGTCTACTACAATTTATTATTCCGTTCAACAACATAGCGCAGTTTGTGAATGTTGTGAACGGTGATATTTTCTTCCAATACACACTTGAAAAACCAGACATATTTCGACATTTGCAAACTGCTATTTTGTTTTAAATAATTAAACATAGATAAAAAGCCTAAAAGTTTTAAGAAACAGAACAATAAATATCGAGTAACTACTGACCTGTGGTGCCTTTGCGTTTTCCTTGCAATGTACCTGTATATGTTGCTGTGTGGCGATGAGAAAACTCGCTTATCAGATTGAGAAGACCAGAATACGGCGTTGTAATGTCTTTGTGCTAACCACACGTATCCCTTAAACCCATGGCTGCGAGGCCGGGACGCAGCTGGTAGGCCCTGGCCCTTTGGCAGGCTGTCGCGCCAAGTACAGACAGACTGTCCTGTCGTAGCGAGAGCTGATCAACTTTTGAGCGTCATATTAACAATACTAAAAAAATATTTTGCTACAATGGCGCTACTTCTCACATCGGACTTAGCTCGAACATCACTCGCTGTAAAGCCAGAGTCTTTGGCGCTGCACAGATTTTTTTATTTGAAATTTACTTCACTCTGATACATAACAAATTACTTTGTGCAATTAGTATAGCAGATAATGATATAAATACGTCAGTAAATATATTGTAAATATCCTAACTTAAAACACCATAATACAGAAAATATATTGCAAACTATAAAATACCTTTTCTTACTACAGAACACTAACAAATAATAAATTTGACTTACTCCGTAACCTTTTTGTTTCGTTTTCCCGTGCCCTGTCTCCACGAACACAGCCGCTAGCAGTGTAATCTTGACTATACTTCAAGTTGTATAAAAAATGAAAAATACTCACGCTAAGCATACTTGCAAATGACCTACGCTCAAATTAACTATGGTCTTCTTTTTATTTAATGTGGAAGGAATGGAGACTAGTTACATTGTATTATATGCATACGTTTTCTTGAGCCCCGGAATACTTACTCCCACGCCTGTTGTTGAATTAAGCACAAAATGGTAACAAAGATCGTTGTTGACAAAATCTTATAACCGGAAATGTCTCATCCCTTATAATATAAATGATTTAACTTCGAAAACGAGCTTCAGATTCGATACAATAGCCCTATCGAAATAAAAAAACTCCCACTCCTCCCAGATCTAGCGAAAAGTGGGCCCAAGCAAACGTGTGCTGTATTAGTTTGTAGTGGACGTCCAGCCTGTACTCACGTGGAGGCTACCGCAAAGCAGCCCCGGTAAAAGCTAACAGGTCGCACAACGCCGACCTTGACATCCGGCGCCCCGCGCTTGCAATCCCGCGCCAGACGCGAATTGTCCGCGCCTCCTCTCCATCAGCTCCAAAATACTAGCGAATTCTGGTCGAAATAGCTCGCTCAGTTTGCTCGCCATCCACACTTGCTGTTCGTTTGCAACTCCAATATGGGTCTGCACTCGTTGTGTCAACTCGCTGACAGTTCCTTCACCTCGTATTCGGCATTTAAAGCATTGGCGAATATCATATAGCAATCAAAGCTTAATATCAAAATCACAGTTCACTCATAACAATAATAAGTTCACGAAGCAATTTCCTGAAATTAGGGGAGCTCTGTTCCGTTCGTAACTACGCGCAATCGCTGACACTACTGCACAAAATGGCTGCTCGACAAGCACCTTTGCGAAGAGAATATTATCACCTTCTTCTGACGCGATATGAATTTAGTTGTTGAGGCCGTTCATTTCAATTCCGCCTGCCAACACTTCACTAAGATAATTTTGTACTAAAACTAGAAAAAGTGCGAATAAAAGCTGAGAAATGCACACCAAATCTTCAGCATAGCTATGTACAACAGCCTCCCTCGTTCACTGCCCCATGATGGAATCGCTTGGGTGTGCTTTTCCCAGCTTATTTTGTTTCAGCCAATGAGTTCTATGCACCAGTTGCGTCACAATAGTAGCGGAAATATTAAATGTGGATACATACTAAATTACCATCACCTTGTCATTGAAAGAAAGAACTGAAGCGTTTTTTAAAGCACTGAATTTTAAAAGTACTCAAAAATTTTTTCAAAACCCTCTACAGTTCATTTACGTGCTTCGTGAGTCAATCGAGAAATTCAGTTAATTTGCATCGCCTTCACTATGTAATATTAGAAGATGAAGAGTAATTTATTCCTGAAGTAACATCAACATCACTTACGTCTTTGTTACTGCTTAAAATATGTTTATTTTCGCAATAAGAGCATCATTTATTTTTCTGATTATTTTCAAGAGGTAAAGCCGATGTAATTGATACCTTCATTGACTATTTTGAGAAAAAACTTAAATTACAGAAAATAAGATTACCTAAATAATACGAGAATATATATGTACTACTTATTTTTCATAACCGTTATAATTTATGTGATTTTCTATTAAATATTTTTTCCGCAAATTTCGTGAACGAAATTACTCGGTTTGACTTCCCATCAACTTCTAAATATATCTGTTAATAGTTAAAAAGCAAAAAATTCCATACATATTAGAATTTGCCTTAATTTTAATATCTTTGTATTTTCCAAGGTCAAATCATTTCGTGGGCCTCAATTTTGTTCACTGTGAACCGAGAAAGGAATGCGCTCATTGCCATAAAACAAAAAGGAGCGCGCAGTTCAACTGTCATTACCTCTTCGACAGTGTCGTACCGATGCGTGAAAAAGGAGGTTCTGTTATAATACATAAGCTCAGTTAAATATAGCAAATCAATTCTAATGCTTTTATTGCTGCTTTAGAACACAATACAATACATGTTACAAAATGTTGAACTCTAGTAGAAAAGGAGATTTAGCAAAAGTTTTTTAAGAAAACTGTTGGCCAGAGTATTAAGTTATTATAGAAATAGTTTTGTATAAAAATCACAAACCCCATGGAAATATGAGAATCCTTATAAATTAGCACAAAAATTTAATAAAGTTACAAAGGAGAAAACCGGTTTTATAATTATGAACTAATTTCACAAGTCCAGAACAATAAAATTAATCTTCATTGAGCAAAATGCAAACATTTTGTAAAATCCAGTGACTCTTGTGTTCTTCAATACCGAGGACGACTTCAAATTCAGAAGATTCATCAATGTGGTTTATTCTTCTTCTTGATGTAGCATATACAGGAATTCTGATAGTGTTCTGTGAATATAAAATAAAAATGCATTGCGTAATGTTGACTTGGGCAAATATTCTCCGAATTATGAAGCACAATAAAATCTTTACGAAATACCTATCTTTGGTTGGTATCATACAGAGAACTTTTGTAAATTATTGATGTTTTAAATACAGATATAGATCCTACATGTATCCGACCAATTATGGGACACTTCCCAAGTTCTAAATGGTTCACGAAATGCAGTTTTCGCTCAACAATGGAGTATCATGTGCCAATCAACATGCTATTAAGATTTTGTTTGGCATATTTTTAGGTTTTGTAAATTTATTCGTCTTTTATTTTTTAAATGGCAGTATATAGATAATAAAAAGATAAATATAATCATCTATTAAATTAAACCGAAAAAAATTCTGAAGAAGACTTTGCAATTATCGCGTTTTGGGAAATGTGGTCTTCGCTTCCCGGCGCCAAAACTACGGGTGTGTTGCTAAACTTATGTTTACTTTATGTGATGCCAAAATACTATATTTGGACTTGATCTTTGAATTTAGCTGCTATCTATCAACTCGAAAAATACACGATTTGGCAGTTTTTGCAAAATTCATAAATATACGAACAATTGAAAGCTTGCAACTATAATAGTTTTCTTATTGATAAATCAATAGTGAACTGGTTATTTGATAAAGGTCCTGGATTATTTATAAACAATAATACTGAAAGTAAACATGTATGAGAATCTAAATGCTCTAAAATGAGTGTTATTTTATCTCGTATCAACGTAATTTCCTCAAGAACAATTGTTGTTAACAATGGTTAAACGTATATATTCTTATATATTTCATTGTATTTACTTTCATGTTCATAAACGTGTTTTATTTAATGTATTTTTATTTGGAAATACTTTCACATCTGAACTAGCGCCATTTTCAACTGCGTAATTTTGCTAGGCCACTTCTCCCCTTTTGAGATTGGCTGCGGCTGGTTGTGGGGCTCCGCCTGCAACGTTTCATCAAGACAAGGGCTGCCCAAGCCGTAAGAAAGCTGAACGGAGCCCGTGAAGCTATGCTGTCAGAGCTGCCAAAACCAATATTTGAAAACATTTCAAATACAAGGAAAGAGAATGAGTAGTTCACGTTTGTCCCTATAATATCTGCCGATAATTCACCCGATTTTAGAAATTTTGTTATACTTTTCTGCTACCGAACTTCTGATTGTAAATTTACAAAAATAAAAATCTTACATAACTATACAAAATCGGAATACAAATAAGTACATAAGTTATTTGCTCATTTTTTCTGCGGCCTTCATTGGCAGCAGTGCACATCTCCAGTCGTGTGTGCAAGGGCCGACGAACTAACTACAGTGTTTTTGTGGCACTATGAATCGATGCTCTGAAATTTGTACAAGTAGAAAAAAATTTCAGTTTGAGACAAGACCATGGTTTGCTGTAGTTACTCTCTATCCCTCATTGCTACCTTTCTTCCCGAAACAGTCTCGGCGCTGAAAGCCCATAGTTGTTGGGACAACTAGTATACAGGGCTAGTATATAGGGCGATTCAGACCTCGTTGCTAATAAGCCGGGGCCATATCCCATATGTAATGTACCGAATGAATTTGCCAAAATTGGATTATTCGTCGTTTAGATGTGTAATTAATGGACGTTAAACTTTCAACTGTACACTGTGGTCGTGTAACATGAGCTACGGCAAAAATGAGCCATCGAGCGTTAGGGCTCGCCCCTTCTCTGGAAAACGCAGTCGCTAATACTATCCGAGAAATTCCGGAAGCGAGCACAAGGCAAATAGCGCGCGAGGTCAAAGCTCCACAGTCTCAGTTCATTCCTAGCATGGAGAACAACGCGGAAAGTTTGCGAATTTTCCATTTCAAGCGGGTGAAGCACTTGCGCAGCAGACACAACGTCCTTTTCAATTTCCTGCGCGAATGCGAAGAAACCCAGGAATTTCGTTAATTGTTCATATGAAGGGTGGTTTACAAGAATTGGCACAATTAATGTGCACAATTTGCATGTGAGGGCCGGGGAAAATCCGCATGTTGCACGTAGTGGAGCTTACCAAGAGCGATTCCCAGTAAAGGTGTCGGTTGGCGTTATGGATTAAGTTATCGTCGGTCCCCATTTCTTACCCGAGTGTTCAAGAGGCATTTAGTATCTGAATTTTATAGCTCGAATACTCCCAACGCTTTTGGAACTGGTGGTTAATGAAAAACTGCGCTTATGCTACCGACGTCTAGAGTCGTGATGACCTTCGTAGGCGCATTGACAGCGTGTTGGCAGAAATAAAGGCACAACCGGGCAAAGTAGTGTGCGTCACAGAGGTCGAATATATATATATATATATATATATATATATATATATCTATATTATATATATATATATATATATATTCTCGTTTACTTAGTGTTGTGATGATGTGTACTTTCTATCTAAATTCTCACTACTACTATTTTCAAATACTCACAACTAATTTCAAGCTCTGGTGTTTTATTGCCTTAACTTTGAGAAATGGAAGTTCTTCAATGAGAATACGGGTCTTAGATTCTATTAAACAATTTTTGGATGTGCTCCAGCGTGCACCATTAAGATACAGACCTTGCAAGTGTCGTGTAGAACTCTGAAAAACATACAATTGATATTATTCATTTTATATCTTAACTATGCAAGAACTGAGCAAATTAAATCATTAAATGGGGCTCACATCATCATCTGGTATTATTTCTTCTCGTTTCTTCCATGATGTGCAAGATATCAATAACGTCGTATCATCAAGAGGCCAACGATTTTTATGACAAGCGATTTGCATCACTGCAGCTAGATAAGACTTAGGCACATGAAGACCAGAGATCCACATAACATAGGGCTCACCAGAATCAACCTGTAAATTAAATTCATTTTTGTAAGAAATTTGATAGAAATTTAAAAAAAATACTCGTCTACGAAAAACAGCTGACTTCATTAAAACAAGCATTTTCTCAGTATATTCTGTAAATACTATTTTTACTTTTATTAAATTTCTTTAAAAAAGGTAATTTGCATATTTTTAATATATAGGATTTTAAGGAATGTTCTCAAATTAAAGGAAGTTTTCTTTCCAGTACGTGTGTATATATACTTAATAAAAGAACTCACTTAGAAGAACAAATTTTATTTTTAAAAAATCTATCATCAATTTTGTAAGTGGAAGACACCGAAAAAATTAATACTTTTGAAATTTACGAAAATTCAGAGTTACTCGTGAAAATCGGACCAATGCCATATTTATAAGTGTATGTTACTCTATTCTTACAAGAAATGTACAGAAAAACCTAGCGCCGTTTTTGAGAAAATTTTGAAAATATCTGAGGAGCGTCATGAACATTCCCCCAAATTTTAAAGATTTTTTCAAAATCTCAAAGATTCGACACAAGTTTCTTCAATTTGGAAAAACGGGCATGGTTCAGGCGCTAGTAGTGTTTACAGATACCAGACGAACGGACGGATGGACGGACGGACAGACGGACGTTTTCAAAAATACACATTTTCGGTATCTGAGGACCCCAAATCGTGTATTTCAATTGAAATCTCGAAATCGATTTTCCGCAGCATTACATAACATTCCTTATACTACGTATATTACTCCGTATACAGAGTGAACCAATTAAGTCATAACACCCCTTTTATCTCCTAATCCGTGAAAGATACGAAGATACCGTTTGGACAGTCCGTAACATAGATAGGGGCTAATCCTTGTAACTAAAAATAGTACAGAACCGAAATATGCTGTAATCAAGTAGCCCCTATCTATGTTACGGACTGTCCAAAAGGTATCTTCGTATCTTTCACGGATGAGGAGATAAAAGGGGAGTTATGACTTAATTGGCTCACCTGTATATGAACGTATACGGGAAAGTAAAAATTAACACAAAAATAAAAAAGTACCCAATTTACACAATTCGACTTCTTTTTTATGTTTGAGTTAATTTTTATTTCTGAACAAATATCATTTATTTTCAAAAAATTGCATTGCAGCTACATGTTAACACTCCAAAAACATTTAAAGACAAACTAACACTGAAATAAAAAAACAATCGAATTGTGTAATTGAGTACTTTTTTATTTCTGTGTTAATTTTTCCGAGTGTTGAGAATTAAAGATCTTACATAAAACTCAATTTAAATGCATAAAGCTTTAAGTGAAGTGTGCGGTAAGCTTACAGTGAACCGTAACGGGCAAACGCAAACGCAAGTACAGGAAAACCAAGAACATCGACAGATAAACGAACTGTGAAATTTGTGGCAGGTGTCATTTAAAAAATGTCGTGCGACGTGCGACACGTGTTCACGTCGTGCGACACGTGAAAAATATTCTAAAGCCACAGGCATTTCAATAACATCCGCATTTCGAATGCTTTCTAATTATTGCACCGCAATGGGTGCCTCACTGCTTGAGTGTCGTACAGAAATACAAATGTCTGGAGATAGCGACTTTATTGACACAAAGATTTGACGTTGAATGACAATATTTCTTTCATCGAAACATTGTCATTGATGAAACGCGTATTAGACACTCTGAGCCGGAATTGAAATAACAATCGAAGGAGTCAAGAGGTCCATCTTCCCCACATCCAAACAATTCCGTCAGTCTCAAAACAAATGATGATCTTTGCATACGATCCTCATGGAATCACCAGAGTGTGATTCCACGCATGCACCTTATGGTCGTGAAATAGAGAAATGTTTGCATAAAAACAAACATATTAATATATATATATATATACTATATATATATATATATATATATTAGCATTTGCTTTTTTATAAACACGAACAGCATAATATTAACCATACAAATTATATCTTACCCAATTTGTATACTGAGTCACACGTTTTTCAAAGTGTTCGAGCCAGCTCCCAAGAAGTTTGCAAGTTGGAGGGGTTAATTTTTGCCATGCAGTGGGTAAATGGCCTTGAACCATACTCCAAGACATTTCCTCCAGTACTTCATCCATTCTCAGTTCACCTACTAAAGCTTGCTGCAATGCCTGGAGTGTTTTGTGCATGCAGGTGATGAGTGCATTGAATCTTTCCAACTCTTGTAACAACACAACAAACATTGCTGTTTGCTCAGAACCACTAGCCTGAGATTCCTTTATCTTTTTGATATCATATATTTCTGGAATTTTTTCCATAATATTCGTGATAATATCGGCAGTCAGTTTCTCATCGAGTATTTCAATACATCCATCTGTCAATGAGAAGTTTATATGAATAATTTTAAATGATAATTTTCAAGAAAATCTTTAAACAGTATATTTTAACATTGACACTGTAAATACCCGTAGGTTTTGAGACAAAATAGTTATTTTTATGTTAAGATATTGTTTTTAGCACACACAAGGAAGATGGTTTTTTTTTGTCCATACAAGGAAGTCTTCTCCAAAACAATCAAATTCGCCCAAGAAACAATAATTTCACTCACGAAATACAAACAATTTTTCATCTACGCTTCTATTACGAATCATAATTTGTTTGATTCTGAATGGTTATTGAAACAAACGCCATCCTGGTTCGAAAAAATTTACACGGTGTTCTGATGTCTCTGAGCAAAAAAAGTACTTTATCGCGGCGGTGCTGTCACGCTTTTCAAGTGTCCTAAGAAAATACTAACTTAAAACACGCGTACGTAAAATCTATTATTTTTATACGATCATATAAAAAAGTCAATTTTCTGTTTACTGATAATTTTCGGTGAATTTTATTTGCATATTTTTCTGCAATATCTTCAACATAATTAATTCAGAAATTAAAAACACAATATTGCAAAAATTTTAGAAGCAAAAGAAAACAAAAATTAAACTCAGCACTTTCTCAGAAAATAGACACAAAGTAAACAGATTTTTTGTTACCATGACCATTTTCTTTAAAATATAATATAACAAAATACAACATAATATTTATTACAACATAGACACCAAATTATGTAATACACAATATATCAAATCCTATTACTTCATTTAATTCAAAAAAATAAAATACAAATTTCGACATACCTGCGTGTTCTTGGGGTTGTAACTTTTGGAGATGATGTTCGAATTCTTTTAAGAGTTTTTTATTGTAAATAATTTCAGAATTAGAATTTAGGCCTAATATTTTAGGATTGGTTGTGAAAGGAAGTTTATCAATTGAAGCTGAAAGACAATTTTTTTTCAATACCTGAATATATTGTGTTCATTAATAACCATTTTATTGAATAAAATAAGAATACTTACCAATATAGTCTTCATATGAATTTACTGATGGTAAGTCAAATTCAACATTTTGATCTTTGTAAAAATAGAACGTATCAGCTGACTCAAATAAAAAGTCTCCTATATATTGATCTAAATACATTTGTATAATGCTCTGATCATAGATATCATTTACTTTTCCACCATATATCACCTTCAAAACAAACACACAACAAGAAACAATAAATATTACTATTGATGAATTCCCACTATCAGACAAAATGACTCCTACCTTTCCAATAAGATATTTTAAACCTTCCCACATTATTTTCGCATTATTTTCTTCCAGACTGCTTTTTAAGTACTTTATCAATAGTTGGGTACAAACACCAAAGTCATATTCATTGAAGTCATAACATAGATTCCAGCCAAATTTTCCGTATTTACTGCGCTCCTATCAAAACAAGAAAAACAACACGTTATTTTGTACACACGTTTAGAGTGTCAGCGTTGTAATTACTATTCTGCTTCACGGCACTAGCTTCTTCATTGGAAAGAAATGATGTGGTGAATACAGTGTACAGATAACGATGCAAATATTTTGTCGTGACTTCGAAAAGCGCTGCCGAATGCAAGCAGAGGCAATATTTAGATGTGTCTCGTCAGTGTTACAAACTGTAGTAGGCATGTAGAGAGGTAACAAATTATCACCTTTTGCCAATGAACATATAAAAATAAACTGCATATGAGGAAATTATATTCATTTATACATGTCGCATTTGCCCCTAATTTTGAAGCAATCTCTTACGACCAGATGTTCGGCAGATGCACATGTGTGCATTTCTCCTAGACTGCGTTAGAACGTGACCTAACAAACAACTTTGAATAAGAAGTTGCCCCTAAGAAGTTGCCTGTAGAGGGGAATATAACTCCGTTGTATTCCCCACTGTATTGGCAAAATGTTATTTTCCACCCCTCTAGATTATTTAGAGGCCTATAACATTTATTCAGAGACATCTGTATATACTGCCTCTACTTGCTGGCCCGCTGGCAGATGCGGGCAGTACCAGAGAAAGCCAGAATGGTAGTACCACCAGGAGCTATGTCAGATTGGTACCGGAGTATTCACGCCAGAAACAGCAGCATGTATGATTTCTACGCCCTGCATCTCCGCTGCCGCTAGAAGGATGCCGGGAGCATCCTGTGTACCAACCAAGAAACGCGTGAATTCCTCTGTAGCTCAAAAGCACTTGAAATTTCGATTAGATGTATTTTAGATTACGCAATATCTTCATAATAGGAGCTCACAATATCCTACCATTTATGGTACTACAATGAGCGTCCTGTATATTATATTTTTTAAAATTATTACGTAGTTTTGTAGTGTGAGTGTATTCATAAATAAATAAACACATTAAATAGATAAATAAATAAATAAATAAATAAATAAATAAATAAATAAATAAATAAATAAATAAATAAAAGAAAGAAAGTGCCCAGACTTCTCGGAAATTCATTTTCGCCCTTGTGCAGGCGCGGCCCTGCCGTCAACGGTCAAGTAGCAACGGTCCGCGGTATCGTCCACCCCTTGCACGTGCCCGACTAATGACCGGCAGAGACATTTCTACACTCAATCGTTTTGCTCATAACTCTTGCCCAAGTGTCAAAAGCACTTCATAATTTGACTATTTACGTTTCCCATTACACACTAGCTGCTGACAAATTTTCATAAAAATCCCAATGTCTGACATGGTTAGTGTGGCGTGTTAGTGATTTTTCACTCAGCATGTCCCTATCTCTCCTGGCATTTGTTTTGGAAATTTGGAAAATGTTCCACGGGTTCATGTAAAGTACTTCCCAAAATTAAAATATCGGTTTCAAATTCAAGGAGCTGCAATATCACTCAGATTGCTCGGGGAATGTCAACTTTGGAAAAATCGGGTACACGGTTTAGCCGCTAGCGTTGTTCAAAGACGAAGTGACGGACGGATGGACGGACTGATAGACGTTTTGCCGTTCGTCATTCGATTTTTCGGTATCAAGGACCCACAAAACAATGAGTCTGGCTACACCATGTGATAAAGGATTTTTTCCTAAATTTAGCAATGGATCTATCCACTTTTTCGTTACCAGGGCCCTGTAATAGGAGTTTTTCTGTCGACAATTTGCCGTGTTTTATGCAGCATTGCATAACTTTTCTCTACTCCGTTGGAAGAAAGTAAAACAAAAAAATATTAATTAAATTTTCTAATGTTCTTTCACATTCAAATAAAATTGAACATTTCATATAAATATAAACACATTCTACAAATCAGTGTTATAATAAACAACAAAAATATAGAATTTTACCTGCAAAACCGCATGGAAAAATGATATCCCATAAAACAGACGTTTAAATGCTGGATGTTCACAACTATCAAGTGCATCAGCTGGCAAATTAACAAATGTCTTTTGTATATTTTTCTTCACACTATTAGGAGATTCAAAAACAACTGAAAAAATATTTTTCATATAGTTAAGGAATACATAACTTTAAAGACAAAACCAATAATAGTTATAAATGTGAATGATAGTGTCTTAAAAATACTTCCTCAATTTGGTATTAAGATCTCTAAATATAATTCTGCATTAAAATGACAAACCTTTAAAAGAGCTCTGCAACAAAGATGTTGGAAAATTTGATTTTGATTTGGTTGTCATCCAGAGCCGAAAATCAGAATGGGGAGTTCCTATTTTTTCTATTTCCTTAATGAGGTCCCTTACAAAATTGATAAGTAGATGACAGTTCTGCAAGAGAAGCCACTGACCTCTTTGCATAGCAATCTTTATCATGAATAAAGCATGCTGAAAATATCAAACAAGTTTATCAATTGATATTTCTTAAGGTTAATTCACCACAGTATGACAAAACATAATAACAAAAACATTGTGTACTACAATTTAAAACTTTATACTATTATATAGCTTTTATTTATACACAAGACAATACAATATTTATTATATACAAGATTTTATTTATTGACCAGAGTTAAAACACAACAATTATGATATAGTATTAGGAAGTGATAAAAAACTGAATAGAACCTGGAAATTTTAAATGCGCAAAATGTTGAAATTGACGACAACAAACGTGAGCAAGAGCCGAACAACACCCTGTTGTCGCTAAGGACGAGTGCTGTGGCGGCTCGAAGGGCCACGAGTTCGAATCTCGCATAAAACATGGATGTTTGTGAGTGTCTACTTGTTCAGCATTTGCTTCTGGTAAAACACAGAAACTAAACACAGAATTTCCACACCTCATACATGACACCATAAACAAATCAAATTAAAACTTCACTTTTCCCAGTAGATGTAGTGCTGACATGGGTGTATGAGCTGGCACAGCATAAAAAGAAAAAGTAACTTGCTGAGACCGGCATACAGGTTAACTCACTTCCGCGCTAGAGAGGGCTGCCATTATTACTGCAAACCACGATGGCTGTACGAATGTCAAACCTAGTCAATGATGATTTTGTTTCGACAAACCTGCCCAATGGCCTCGATTCAGGGCATGGTGGCTCTGAAAATTTCCTGGCCATCCCCAGAACTATTTCCACCTCAACCTCTTCCTTCGCTATTTTATTCTATTCTTACAAGAAATTTAATGAAAAAGTTTAGAGCCGTTTTTGAGAAAATTTTGAAAATTTCCGCGGTCTTTAATGTAAAGTACCCATAAATTTTAAAGATTTTTGTTTCAAAATCACAATGCTTTGACTCGAGACAGATATACAGGGGTTTCTTCAATTTAGAAAATATCCTACATATGATTTAGGCGCTAGTGGTGTTCACAAATGGACAGACAGACGGACGGACAGTTGGACAAACAGACGGACGTTTAGAAAAAACACTTTTGCGATATCAGGGGACCACAAAACGAGTATTTTCGTTTAAGTCTCGAAATCGATTTTCCGTAGCATTACATAACTTTCCCTATACCACGTACATTACTCCATATATACGTACCTATAAAGGGAAAGTAAAAAGAAATTGCATTGGAAATCCTACGAACGAAACCAACTGAAAACGAAGGTCTTAGTTTATTAGAAACATTAATGTTAATGCAAATTATCTTGGAATGTTATATACATTAGGAGGCCTCTGGTCACATAATGTTACATAGATTACTATGTAGTTCATCCACATAATGTTTTTGTAAAATAAGTAACTTGCAAAATACGCCAGGCGTGTTGTGTTATTTCAGTTACTCAAAATTAAAGTTAGGCACTAAACACATAATTTCCACACCTCATACATGACACCATAAACAAATCAAATTTGTCAGACTCGTAGTGTAAAATGTAACACAAGAAAAATGTCACAATGTCAAATTTAATTGTTCTGGTAAAGAAATATAATTGTTTTGAATACTCAAGTATTTTTTCACTTACATTACAAAATAGTACTCTGAATAGTTCTTTCGTTAATAGCAATTTTATAGTTATTCAATAACACTTCACTATATTTTATTATTGCACATGGATTAAACGATAAACTTACGAATACACTATGAATCAAACAATGATGAATTATTTACACAAAGAAATGATAAAGAACTGATTGAATTGTTTTATTCTTACATTTTCTTGTCCACAACCCAATGATAAATAACGGAATCGACTTCCAAAACCACATAAGCGGGCTTGTTTCATGAGCTCATCAATAGGATCTGAACCAGGACTCAGAATAAATAGCACCGGAATCCTTGATGAAGCATAACTTCTTATTTCACTGTGGCTGCACACAACAGAATTCAAATTTTAAGTATGATAATAAAGTAAAAACGTAATTAACTGTATATAAATTTAGTGTTCAATGATGAACAGCAAACCATTATCCAAGTCTGCAATTTATATATTTCGAAAATATTATATGACATAAACAATTTTTAAGATTCTGAAGGAAGTGTAAATTGGTAACAGTAAATTGGTTAAAGTTACAGCGATTATGAATAAACTGAGAGCATGTTAAGTAACGTTAACAAATTTCATTTCTCATTTTCAAAATTTTATATTTTCTGTATCTTTTCTGAGTAGTAGCGTTCAAAAAACGATTGATAAAACAAGCTTTGTCACAAAATGTTGCTTCCAGTACCTTTTCATCCGGTGATACGAAAACATCTTCACCAACTCTGAATAACTGAACTTGACAAAAAAAGATGAAATCAAAATTTCAGATTATTATTTGTTGATAAAATACGTCGAACCGAAAGGATAGGAACTAAAAATCACTACGGTGAAAGTTGCGCTGCGCTGCGGTTAGAAGCCTCGATGAATTACAGTTAAAAAAAACTTTTTCCGGTACAAAGAATACAAATACTGTTCTATATCTGGCTATTGTCAATCCAACAGGGAATTTCTGTTTGCATTCTTAAACATGTATATATAAACAATTATTAAAACTGTATATGCAAACATTGAAGATAGCGTAAAGTTTGTATAAAACATAGCAAGTTTAAAACATTTAATTCTAAATAAAAATCTTACTTCTTTTCAGATATGTGTAAAAAATAATTTGAATAATAATGGCACTCTTGACTACGAAAATTAACTATCAAGGATAAAAATTAAATCATTTATCTAGTTCAGTTCTTCGAAAAGTATCCAATATGTTTCTACTTTGACATAAATATAAAAAACAGACATGATCTGAAGTTAGCAAATTTATTGTAGTAATCATTGAAAGTAAACATGCAAGGTATTTTTATTCATTCATAAGTAGAGCGTGTTAGTTTATTATCATATATTTTTCTCGGTTTTTCATATTCTGTATTTTTTTTATATTTTTCAAAATTCTGCAAGGAGTTTGAAATTGTTGAAATGCAAGAACTTGAATTCACAGATATAATTAGGTTCTGAATATTTAAGATACCTATTTATAGAATATATACAAACAAGTGCGAGTGTGAATATGTTTGTGTGCTTACGAATATACGGGTTTCAGATAAGGGTTTACACAAATGTGAATGATTAGGCACCCATGTGTGAATGATACTCATAAGTAAGTGTGGCTTGTGGAAAATTTATAAATAGAAATCTGGATTAAAACGCCTATTATTTTTCTTTTGCAAAATATATGATTTTCATATTATCATGATACAGTATAATCTGTCTAAACCAGAACCTGTACAAGACGGAAACCTGCCTTAAGCGGAAAATTTCTCCTGTCCATGAAGTTAAATGACATTTTTCATAGCATATAATAGGACATCTACAACGCGGAAACGAAATGATTTTTCATGTCCCGTAAGAAAAAATCTTTTTAAAATGGAATTCCTGTGAATTTAATGCAATTGGTAGAGAAACGCGAGATGGTCTTAATGAAATGAATGCCTCTGCAAGCCTGTTTAAATTTTTTATCCCTGAGTCACGTGATTTAGTCGTAGCAACCGGACATTGTTGGAGAGGGGCTGTCAGCGTCATCTGTTCAGCTGTCAGCGATCAATTCGAACTTGGGGTTGCTTATTGCTCAAGACGTAAGCCGTTGGGGAATTTCCTCTCTCCCGGCTCTATGAGGGTGAGAAGGTATAATATCTTCTATTCATACGCCTCCCTGCCCCGCGTTGAAAATTATAACCCCTCGACCAAATTTGCATTTCTCAAGGCCATGCGAGGGTTTTAGAAAGTCATAGTACTGAGTTGTGACGCATTGTGCGTTGACAGTCAGCAATCAGTCACAATACAGCTTCTAGGCAGTAAGACGTGTATTTTTCAACTCATTGTGAGAAGCTGTCAATGAAGTGTTTAATATTCATAATTATAAAATTGTATTTTTATAATTATAAAGTCATGTAAATTAGGTCTACTAATTTCGGGGCAGAAATATAAATATCACAGGTGTCAAAATGGACAACTTTGCATTAAAAGGAAACCTCCCTAAACCTGAATTATTTTGTATCCCGATTGATTCCGGCTTAGACAGATTTTACTTTACTTTCATTTACATTTACAAAACAATAGACAACACAATAACTTACCTGATTACATGAGGTGTTACATACTGTTTACCCATTACTCTTGATATGTATATCAAAAGGGCTGGATAAACTCGATCATATCTGAAGCAGCGTAGTAACATAAGGCATTCAAATGGCGTTAATTTTTTTCTGTAGTTCATGGGATATTGCACCGATTCTGGTGTGTTGTGATCAAACCACTGTAAGCCAGCAAATAATTAATTTACATTCAGAAACAGTTGTAAAACACAATATCATGGACACGCATTACTTAAATTATATTTTATATTTACCTTTTTCCACGTCAGTAAATTTTTCCTGATATCATCAGACAAATTTGAAAAAGATGGAAAGCAGGACGTCAGGAATAAAATATCTTTCCAGATCTGCAGAATTTAAAACATTTAGTCCTCAAAATTATCTTAAGATTCCAACAAATGTAATAATTGTCTAAGTCGAACTTAATTGGTAAAACTAGTACTATTATTCTTCTGGGCATTTGGTTGTATATTGGGCAGACATGGAAGACAGAGGATACTGTCAAATTTCTTGATTTACACAAAAAATCTAAATCATTTCGTTGATATTCTCAATAAGGTTTAACACCAAGAATTATTAAAATGTATCAGTTGTGCAGTAATTTTTTAAATACAAACGTTTCAAAATTATTGAGACATGTTTAATACATCAAGAAATTGTACAGTATCCTTTTTCCGTGTCCATCTAATATGTGGACAAATGTCCATAAGAAATTCTATTCAAGAAGTTGCAGGCAACTAATAATTTAAGTTAAAAGTATTATTACGCGGATCGGTTAGAAAGTAATGCCCCGCATTTTTTCTTTCAAACAATAATAATGGTAGACAGTTAAAGTCGTTAACCCCTCACAGTTTTCTATTTCTAGCGTTAATGTATGAGTTTTCACGATTCTTTTAATCCAGGTATACACAGTACAGTTTTCGTGCAGATTGAACGTACAGAAAACGTGCAGTCCAGAATGCACGATTTCTACATTAAAACGTTTGAGCATGTTCATATACTCGAAAACTGTATCGTATATACCTGGCTATACACGTGGCTGTAGACGATGTGCGTTACAAACAGCGTGCTGTGATTTAGTTCCTCGTTGCGGAGAAGGAAAATGTTCCATTAAGGCTTTATTTACTAGGCAGTCCGGGTGACGCCGCGTCCATGGCGAAGGTGACGACGTTTCGGTCGCCATTCTGCGACCTTCCTCAGGGCGTATTGCAATATGTGTTAATATTTATGTAAATTTCAGGTTCTTTGAATAAACATTTCTGGAGAAAAAATGTTGGGCATTACTTTCTAACGGACCCTCACAGTAAAACTAGTATTTTTGAGTTATTGGTTTGACCATATTCAAACTTTCTTCACCTCACAAAAATGTAATTTTTCATTTTCTTTCATCAACAGCCATACAGTACTTCATTTATTTCTTGCAATCACAGACGCAATAAAAAATTCAATGAAGTGTATGTAAAGATAAATTATATTCCTGTTGTTTTTACAATAATCTTACATTCTTCAACATTTCCAACACATTTTTTGAACTACATCCAAAGAAATAATTTTGGGAAATGGATCTGTACTTTTATTCATTAATGTCAAGACTTGAAAATGATTATTTTATGCAATACCTGAGAGGTAATCCATTCTGCAGGACTTTCAATGCTTTCAGCCATACTCCGATTTCCCCAAACAAAGAATTTTATTTGTTCCTTAGAAACTTGTTTTTTATTCATTTCTAATGTTAAAGTCAGTTGGAAAGAAAACAATATTTTATGCCTCTGATAAACACCTGTATTGAAGCAAAGCCCACAACATTGTAGATAATTTGCTTAATTTTTTTTAATTAATACTTAAATAAAATATCATTTTTATAAAGTAGATAATATTGCAATATCTTACCTATGCAAACATAATCATAAACAAATTTTGTTAAAGTATTTATTACATTTTTAAGTCTCACTTCAATCTGATTGTCTTGAACCGCTTTTTGTAAAGATAAATGAAACAGGTTCTTAAATGATGTCAAAGAATATTTATACATAGTGTCCACAGTTGCCATATTTGATACAACAGAAAACAGAATTGAACCATGTTCAGCCAGAATGAGATAGTCATTTCGAAAACAATCAATATCTTTAGCAGCTTGGTTTGCTTGCAGTATTTTGTCAGATATATCTTCAACCTGAAGTTTGGTTTGCTCAAGAGTATCCAAAAGATCAACATTGTCCAAAATATAGCTTGGGGCATTTGCAACTTTATCTAATAAGTTAGCTTTTAAATATTTCAACAACGATTTATTAGAATTAATGTCTTTAATCAGAGCGTTCCTCTTAATTTCCACATCTGGATGTTCATGTTGCACCACAATTGTAAGAAGCTGCTCCTCCAAACCCTATAAATAAAACAATTATTGAAAATTCTGTATATTAACAGATAAAAATTAGAACTAAAAAAATCACATCAAGTAAAACATATTTTCCATCATTTATTTGTTGTATATTATGTCAATAAGTGGTATTATTTTGTTAAATAGTTTCAGAGAGAAGAATAAGAAACTGCTGAGAAAATTTTACCAAATTTGTAATAGTAAAGTTAATAATATTGGCTTTACTATAAACAGCAGGCTCAAAGTTAGGATTTGTCAGTTTTGTGACTAAATATAACTGAAAGTTGGAATTGTACTCCACTTCTTTGTCCCCCAGTTTAATTACTGTTTGTCCATTAGTCACTGAAACAGAAGAAAATGCAATGTAATGCTCTCATTTATTTACACTTATGATAACTGCAAGTTTAAAATGTGATATCCTAAATGTAACTAAGCAATTGTAATTGCTGAAGATGCATTACTCCAGAAGCACTAGAAAATCATTTGCCATTGTTCTTTATGTATTTTAATCATGAATAAATTCTTTATTATACAAGAGGAATTTGAAACATTTTGCAAGTGTAACATCTATTACAACACATCAATGGAAATAGTTAAATATCTGTTATAGGATAAATACGAATATTTATCAGATTAAACCTGCACAGTGTGCATAAGGCTGGCATGGACGTTCAGTGCTATGATGGATCCAGTGGATGAATATCAATTTCTCTAAATAGAACATTTGATTCCACACTTTTTCACACCCCTTTAACTAAATGAAAAAATATTTTTAAAGTTTTAGGTCTTGGGAGCAATGTATGGGAATAAATTGTGATTGTTTGATACCACTGGAAGATATATTTGAACAACGGAGCATGGGAAGATGAAAATGCGTTCGAAAACGCAGGTCACGCAGAATACAGTACGGGTATAGAAAGGAAAGAGCTGATACTGCTCAACGCGCAGTCGACATGGCTTGTGACGGCTCGAGCCTCACGTTCGATGGACACACCCAAATTAATTTGGTGCACTTTCTCTTAAATATATCTAAACAAGAGGGGAATACCAGTTCTCTCACAGCTTTTCCGAAACATGGAATTTTAAAACACGCCGTTTGGATGCAGCGATTGACAGTCCGCCGCCAGTGCCCTTCGTGAAAGAGAAAACAACAGTGGCTTTATGGACGGAAGGAGCATTCGCCTGAGTGGGCGGTCGTCACTGCGCAGACAGCGATGTGTACGATTTCAACGAATGCCTTGACATGTTTCGAAGATATAACACTCAGATACCACACGTCTGTAGGAGAAGTGTGACATTGAACGAAGGAAATGTGAGATATATCTCAGTGCAGTGTTGCATGAATAAGAATTGTGTTAATTTAATAATAGAAGTATTCACTCCCCTGCAAAATCTGTTCTGGAACGTGCTGAGTAGATAGACTCTAGTAGTAAATATTTCGGAGACGTCCTTACCGAACGAAGTCGAAGCAGATGTTGAGGAAAGAAATGCGGGCTACCCTCACTGCTGATGAGAGATACCGTTCAGCATGCCATCAGATTCATAAAATGCTCTGTATTTAATCGTCATTATTCATGTTAATGAATAAATATGTGTGTATCTGTGTGTATGCATGTAATATATGCATTTGTATATGGCTGAGTATGTGTGTGTATGAGACACAGAGAGGGAGGAAGAGAGAGAGAGAGAAGAGAGACGTTGCACAGCCTAATGGCACCACGAGCCGCCTAAAAATGTCGGTTAGATTCCAAGTACCCGACCCTCCAACAGCTAACGTCATGAGCAAATTTAAAGAGAATCTCTTACTCTATTCGACGCGTGCCTTATGTGATTTCGCAATTATTTTCATTAGAAAAATGAACCCTTGTTTTAGTTTAAAAAATTTAATCAACATTACGCATTTGGACTTTTTATGCTACAGATACAGAATAGTATACAGAAGCAATATGTGTTATAAAATGTATGCCAGTACGTATGTGTATTATTGATCCCTATCACGATCTTGCAAATGATGTGCACAGACGTTCAGAATACGGCCAATCTATATCCTGAAGAAAATCAGGAGAGAAAATCCTGAAGAAAATCAGGAGAGAAAATCCTGAGAAAAACAGATTTCATTCACGACAGTTTCATCTGTAGCGTTGTGATTTGTATTTATCTGCTAGATAAAACCGTAAGAATATAACTTCCAGGTATCCTGAACATGTATGGTACCCTTGAGAGTTAATTAATGCATGTAAGTATATAAATTTAAATACAAACCTCTAGTAGATCTTTCCAGCAAACTGTATATTAATGGGTCAACATATTCTTCAATGTCCTCAAACATAACTGGGGAACCAATAGTTACTGCAAGTTCGAGTTTCTTCAAAAAGTCACAGTCACTGAACGTCAGTATTTTCAGATTATTTTCCTCTTCCTTTCTCTTGATCCAATAAATTGCCTAGAGCGCAAGAGCAAATAAAGTATACAGAGTATGTGAATATTTCATATTCAAGGTTATAATAAATATGTGTATAAATTGAATTCAATGATTTTCAATCTGTATCTAAATTAAAAACTGCCATTGATGATTTGAATACTATAAATGAAATTGCAAGCATTGCAAGGTATTTTAACCTCATAGTCAGCAGTGTTACAAAGTGACGTGAGTAGTGCAGTGTTTTTCAGAGATACATTTCTTTCCTAGGGCAAAGTTAGACATAGTGAGAAATAATCTCTGTGAGATAGCGAAAATCGCCTTTATTAAACCATTTACTATTACATAAATAAACCATGTAATGCTTCTGTAGAGTTTTTGACTACTCGTGTGCGTTGTTAATTAATCCAGGAAGGATAACTAGTACATTGATATTTCTTTCCTTTGTACGACTACATGAACAACTTTTCATTTTAACTATTTTGCACAATTTTTGAGAAAATGTTTATTTGAAATTAATTTGCTCAAATTACAATGAAATATAACATGTTACGTATGTAGGCATGGTGTACCTCAAGATACAAATTAATCACAAATACCTTTTTCTACGATCCTGTAATAATGAGCTCACCTACTTATCGCTAAGCGTGCGTGACATTGGAATTTGTAATAATAACAATAATATTATTCCATCACCTGGTCAGACTTATAAGTTTTGACAATTACGTAGGTATATGTTCCCCGTTTTGAAATTGCCAACTATCGTAACAACCCCATAGCTACGTAGCAGAAGTCATTGTTACAAATGATGTTTGACTGTTCTAATAATTGACTGCCCCAGCCAGGAATTCGAGCTCGGATGTCCAGTTGGCTGTAATCACTTGAGCTACGCGTATTGTGGAGCAATTGTAAAAATTGACAGATGGTGAAATTTAACCTGTAACCGTTCAGAACTCGTTCTTAACTTTGCTGTCTCTGCTTGGCACTTTTGCTGCATTGCTTCTCCATTAGAACATTCGAAGCTGCACATTCGAAATGGTCCCTCAGAGTAATACAGTTTTATCTATACTTTTATTAACCATTAAACACTGGCGTCGGATCAATTTGACCTCAACGCATTTTCTCTTTTTATTTTCCGAGATCACTGCGATCTACCGATGATACGGGTTACACTTAATCTCTTTTGGTAACGTTCCTATTCATGTCGTGCAAAGAAAAATGCCGTTGATATATGTTTCTCTGAATGACTCGACGCCAGCGTCAATGCTCCTGTGTATTTCCATATGACGGACGTGAAAGCATGGCGCCTTAACGATAACTGTCTTCGCGACTCATTTTAGATTATTAAGGAATAGTGCTCCTGTTGAGGTGAAAGAACAATTTGCCATTTTTCTAACATTTTATATGGACCACCGGACACTCGGGAATTCTTGCCAAGAAACAAAGAGAAGTCCAGCATCTTTGACTTTACAAAGCAGCTGATAATGATATATGTACCAGCCAAATCACGATCTGTAGTTATTTCTACTAACCTTACAACCAAGAAGATTGACGAACGCACAATCACTCTGAAGAAGCTATAAATTATAACTTTTTACAACCTTGCACTTACTTCGTAAGCAGAAAAAGTTATGTAATAATGCGCCGGAAAACGGTGAATTTTAGGCAGAAAAACTCTTATAGCCGGATCCTGATAATGAACTAGTGGATAAATCGTGTTGCTTTATATAGTAAATAACTATCTCTAACACGTCGTCTAACCTGAATTCGTGTTTTGTGAGTCCTTCATACTGAAAAATCGTTTGACGGTAAAATGTCGTAGTCAACGGTAGCACCTAAAACTGTTCAGCCGATTTTGACAAAATTGATAATCCCCGATCGATCTGAACAAACTCGGGCTTAGAGCGTTTCAATCGGATACTTTGATTTTTCAGGATACTTTACATTAAGTCTCAAAAACATTTTCAAACTTTTCTCTAAAATAGCACCAACTTTCTTTATTAACATTTGTCCTCGGATAACGTAATGGACACTTCCGAAAACTGTGCATGTCTGGTTGTTGAAATTTCACATTTTTCGGAAATTCCAAAAGTCGAATTTTGTGGGGCGAATTCCTACAACTATAATACAGATTTTTTCCTACATGAAATCTTTTCTTTAATAAGCTCATGTACATTTTTTCATAAACATGAATTTTTGTGTAATTTTGTGAGATATACAGACCATTTTTTTAAAAAGTTTTTTTTCTCAAAACCCCCTCCAATTATTCTTTAAAATTTCTCCTCATATGTAAAGAGGGACGGTAAAAAAAATGTGCTAGTCCCATTTTGAAATTGTGCTAGTCCCAAAATTGAAGAAAGTTAATTTTGTCTTAGACAAAGTCTGTTTTAAAAAATTCAGTTCTGTAAAAAAGGCCATGTAAATTTTTTTTAAAGAAAAGGAATAGATAATTGTGTCTAAAATTTCTACAAAAAAAATTAAAATGCTCCAAAGTTTTTCTTGAAATTTTCTCCCCGTAGGTATCAAGGGACGGTAAAAATATGATGCTAGTCTCATTTTCGGCGAACTCTTCGTATTTTGGAAAATTGCAACTAGTTAACATTTCAAACCCAGAAAACTGAAGATGATTTACATTTTTCGTAATTTATTGCAAGTAGATATCGCGTAATTTATGTCTGAAAGTCATGCAGTTTCTAAAAAACATACTTTATCACAAATCACACCAAAGTTTTTCTTTAATTTTTCCTCGTATTTAACGACGATCGGTAAAAAATATGGTGCTGGTCTCATTTTCGGCGAACTCATCATATTTTCGAAGATTGCAAAAACTGTGTGTTGGAGCTATTGGTTTGAGGCAATTACATTTTTAAGCGTCGGCCCGAATTCGTACCACACGGCGCATATGTAGCATAGTGGTCTCGGTGTGGAAAATAATGTTTGCTAGTTGAAAACACTTTTGCATTTTATGTAGTAGTTTAATATGGAGCAGTTAGACGTAATTGAAAAAGTATGATGTAGCACTACTAGTTTTCTTCTTTTTTTTTGTTCCAAGGGATGTAGGTCGCATTTTCGTTGATCTCTCTGAATTTTAGAAAATTGTGAGACGGAAATAATGATTTGAGACTATTACATTTTTACGTCGGCCCGAGTTCGAAGCTCATAGTGTTTCCGTAGCGATGAGGCTCACGGCGAGTTAAATCGAAATATCTGAGATCGAGTCTCAGTGCGGAAAAAATTTGCTGGTTGAAAACACTTATGCAGGTTTATGCATAGCAAAATATAACGGAGCAGTTGAAACAATGCAAGAAACTATTGTTACAACTAGTGCTGTTGCTTCACCACTAGTTTAATTTCGTAAGCGAAATTATTGTTACTTGCCTTGGTATACCGTTCTCCGAAAAACAACAACAACAACAACAACAACAACAACAACTGTGCAAGAAGCAATCACTTTACGCACTGAATACATCAATCACTTAGCTAGTCATACATCCAAATAAGAGAAGGTAAGTGATGACACACGTAAACAAAATTGCAAACCTCTCCTTCACTAAAATCAAACATACGAGATGTTTCTCACAGATATAGCGGCAATTGGAGGATTAAGCATTTCAAATTATACGTCGTCTGTTCGTATTGGATTAATATGAAGTAGTGGTGCTACAGAATGGCATAGACTTTCTCGTACTAGTAAGTTTTCTAATTTCTTTGTACTGGGCTACCTACAAAGAACACTTTTTGGAATTTTCTCAATTGTTCGGTTTCCTAATGGTAGAACTGAAATATGACTTTAAGAATATTATAAAATAGAAAAAAATGTTCTATGTGGACATTGTCTTTAAAAAATTTAGAGCCGTTAAGAAAATATCGTTTTAGCGTTAATGTACATGCGAAATTTGAAGATATTCTTCACAGAAAACTTGATTTTCTAGAAACTTCATTGGAAATCATATGAAGCACTTCTACACACAAATGTAATAATGTACACCAATCGCTAGAAATGCAGTACATATTAACTGCATGATATCTAAAAAAAATTGATTTGCGTAATTTTTGAAAAACAAACAAACAAAAGAATACATAAAAATGTCTTTTATGTCATATTATACCGTGTATTGAGTACAATCAGTACAAAAATTTGAAGAACAAATTTGGAGCCTTTTTGAGAAAGTGGCGTTTGAGCATTTCTGAAAATGCGAAATTTTGAAATCATTTTTAAAGAAAATTATATACGTTATTCTTTGAAGCACATGTACTCATAAATGCAACAATGTATACAAACCCCGATAATGTAAATATTAGTAAAGTAAGAGAGATGTAAAAAAATACGTTTGTGTAATTTTAGAAAAAACAAAACAATGCAGCCAACGGCGTTTGTCATCTTACATTTAGCACTCGGGCTACAAAAATTCAAAGAAAAAAGTTAGAGCATTTTTTAAGAAATTCTTGGTTTCCATGTTGTTTAATATTTCCCATCTTTCACTAAAATTGCCCGAAAACTACTAAAATTTTAAAAAACGTACATGACATTAATGAAAGAACTAATTGCAGATAATAAAATTTTATTTTAAGAAATAATGTCTATCTTCAGTATTGTAGTTGCAGAAAGACGCCGAAAAAAAATATAATTTCGGAAATTTCAAAGTTAACAGGGAAAATTACTTTTACCTTTTTTGTAAGCATATCTTATTCCATTCTTAGAAGAAATTTAAAGAAAAATAATGGAGCCATTTTTGAGAAATATTTGAATAACTCCCAGGGACTTCATGTAAAGAACATCCAAACTTTAAAGATTGGTTTTTCAAAATAGCAAAGCTTCGAGTAGGGCCAGTTTGAATAGGGAATATTCATCTGGTAAAAAATCATACCAATAGTTTAGGCGCTAGTGTTGTTCACACACAGACATACCTGTTATAAAAAACTTTTGGGGGGTCTTAAGGGACGCTAAAAGGTGTATTTTCATTGAAATTCAAAATCGATTGTACTTTCTCTATATTATTATTTTTTATGTTTGTTGCATTTATATAGACGTAACGCGTCTCCTAGCTCCTTAAGGAGCGTTGAGCGCACATGTAGAGTAGTCCTCCCTTATTAAGTGCCCTCTAGGGGCAGCTGGGTAGTCAAATATCGTCACAGTCAAGTCAGGGAATCGCCGAATTGTAGCGTCTTCGTGCTCGCGACCCGCATGCGCCCTGCGTCATCTACCTATCGACCATAATGGGGAACGAATAAGGATAGGGGTTGGACTAGTCCTGTGAAGCAGGCAAACTCGTTTTGTCGTAACAAATTTCACTTGAGGTTCTTCGGGGATTCTACGGGAATCGAACCATCTCCATCAGGTTTTCGCCCAGTTTCCTTGTTCCTTGAGCAAATTCTGAGATGGTCCCTTGTTTTGCTTCTGGACACAAATGTTTTTTCAAATTAACTTCTCTCAACGCTCTTCACACACAGTTTTTAAATGTTTTTGGCGTAAATAAATACGTACGTACATACAAATTTAAATTTGCCATTCTTATTATTATTATTTCGGAACGTTACTTCAGAAATACGTACGGTCGCTCCTTATATGCAAAGATCGTGACTGATTAAACAAACAATGAAAGAGAATCAGCGGAGTTGTTTTTGAGGAGTCACTAAATTGTTTATCTGAACTTCCAACATCATTTCTATGGTGGATAATAAAAATTTTAGAATAACATGCTCGACACACTTTCTCCTGTATAAGATGAACCGATTTATTAGGATCTGAACAAGACTGGTTATAGATATGATTACATTTTTCAAAGTATTTTATTTTGTGGTACTTAAAGATAGATGTGATTTCAGAGTTACTCCTTAATTAAAACACTTACTTTTTGTTCTGCTCCAAAGTCTTCAAAATTGACTTCAAAAAGTTCTTAGGAAAAACTTCATTGACAGTTCTAAGCAAACGTGATTAGTAAAATTACCTATACGACACGGTCATTCCATTTTTATGACTGGCCACACAACTGTTCACAAAGAAACACAGAAACTGCGATACGCTTTAACTGACAGAGAAGGCAACAATGAAGCCACAAACTCAGAGACGCGTCAGAATGGGTGCGATCTCGAAAACGTGTTATCCCTCGGACCATCGAGTTTATTCTGTCATATACACGAACCTTAGGTTGTTGAGATTCTCAGATAAGTGGTGCAGAGTCAAGTTTCGCAGCAGCATTTCCTGTTTTATCTGCCCAGCGGTGAGTAATTTAGAAAACAATAAATATCCACAAACGTGACAAATGGCGTAAATCAATAAAGGCCGCCATTTGTAAACAAGGCATAACAAAAAAAAATTGAAATGTTTTTGAACAGCCAACACATAAGGAAAATATAGACAAAGTATGAGTTATTTTTTCGAGACGGTCGAGCGACCAGTGGTGAACCACTTAAAAGGGCCTGTGATGGCGTTGGCCCATGATTAGTAGGAAACTGATTATGTATTGTTGTTTAGCGAGTCACGCTCTGGCGTACTTAAAGCTATTTTGAGAGCGCCAAACACCAACTATACAACATGTTGCCTGCTCATTAAGGGCAAATGTCTCGTGAGTAACTTTGTTTTATTAGCTATTAAGTGATTTCTCTATCTAAAATAGCCGCATTCCCTCGCTCCAAAAATCTGGAAGCACGTGAGACGCCCTCTGTCATAGTTTTACAAAAGTTAACGGTTGTTAACGTGGTTGCGAAGCCACCACGGCAGGGACGTACATTTTCAAATGTGGGGTAAAAGGTAAAATAAAGTCACTGCGTAAATGACGATACTTGTACAAAACTTACTTAGTAAACAGAAAATATTGCAATACTGCAACGGAAATAGGCGCATTTCGACACAAAAACTTGAATTGTGTGACCCTCAGACAGAATAAGTGGAGTTTCTTGCTCCTATATGTAGTAAATGAGTTTCTCAAATACGCTGTAAAAACAGAATCCCCGTATCACACTCCGGTTCTACTCATACCACTACAACCAAAAGGAAATATCAATGAAACGTGCGCATAGTGAATCATCATTTATGTTAAGAAGACAAACAAAGGGCCATCTCAGCATTTGTCCAATTGATCAGGGAAACTTGAAAAAAACTTAATCGAGATGGGGTCACTGACCCATAAGCTGAAATACATTACTTGATACAGCCATATTAAGTCTTTTTTTAATTATACATTACAACTGTCAGTTGTATAGAAATAGTTATACAGAAGAAAATATTATTCTTTTAACTTCAATTTGTGTACTGATTTTCATTGTTTAATGTGTCATTTCAATTAATGTGTTAATTCTATCGTGTATTTATTCTGAACATGTGAACATATTTATTTTGAATATATGTGTGCGTGTGTGTATGAGTGAAATAATGTCTTGTTCAATAATTATACAAAATAAAGCATGTTAATCCAAATCAACCTAAGGATTCAATTAACTATTTTGATTATGCCCTCTGTATCATATATCATTCATTTAAGTATCATTTTCAGATAGTTTTATTGTATTATATTACCTGTTCTTGCGGATCAAGACATAATGGAAATCGTCGGGAATAAACAGTCAAAATGCCATTTTGTACGGATATTTCATCTTGGGGCAAACCTTCAGAACTCCACCTAAGAATTATCACAAATTTAATTACATAAAAAAAACAAATGAATATGAAAAGTAAGATATCTTAAAATGTACATGTAAAACGTTTTCTGAAAAATAACTCAAATATACACTGACGCATGCAAACAATGATAAAATATGTATATAACGTACTACTAACCTGACAATTTGTGCATTATCCAATAAAAGTCCCTCTAATGAATAAGGATTAGTCAGAGGTATAGAGTACTGCATCAAATCGTGAACCCAATCTTCGATGAGCATTCGATTACGATATTCTTTTGTAAAGGGACCTACATAACTGAGGAATGCAGCAGTCAACAAACAATCACCTATCAAACATTTTTTCTTCTCTCTCAGACTTTGTAGATCACTTGACCACCTGAAATCCAAATTACAGGAAATACAAAATTTTCCAATGACATTACAAATTAGATTACTTGATTTTTGTTAAAATGTGATGGCTGATACTTAACAATAAAAATAAGCACTACCTGCTGTAAATAATTAAAATATTATTATATAAAAGTTTTTTTTCATGTAAATACAAGGTTTGTCTCAAAAAAAAGTAGATGTAATTCAATAACAGAAACCGGCAAAGGTAGCTCAGGGCAACCAATGTCACTGTAGTACCTCTAACCAGGAGCTCCGAGGGTTCGACTCCCGGTGGAGGCAGGATGTTTCAAAATTAGTTAGAGAGCTAGGTCAATTTCAGCCGCTCTCTGGAGGAGAATTGTAGTGGCCGGCTGCTCTGAACGGTAGTTTTCCGTGGTTTCTCCGATCAATGCCAGGATAATGCGGAGCACTGCCCTAAGAAACGGGCCATGGACCGCGCACGATCTTTCCTTCCCCTTCCTTATCCTATTCTCACCCCTTACTAACACACACTGACACTCATACGCCTTACTCTACCACTCTTGTCGGGAGATTAATTAACATAGAGCTTGTCCCTGGGGCGGTGCTTCGCTGATGGGAGATACCTGGTTGAGGAAAATCCCCGCAATCTGACGTAGGTCGATGCCGGAACTAATCATCTAGCGGGGGAAGATAACAGCAATCTCCCGCTATAAAACATGCACAACACTTACGGAACTATTGACCTTAGAAGATGACGATCCCAGAATTACCAATCAATTCAATGACAAAAATATTGCCAATATTTGTACAGCTTATATGTGACTAGTTCCTCGCTCTTTCTGCCCAATTTCTCTAAGATGACTCGCAGCTCCTCGAAATTGCATGTATCTGGTGTGACTGCTACTTCTATTAAGGTCTCGTCAGGATTGGTTTCCCCTGAGCCGGTCATCTCGCAAGATATATCCCCTGCCATTTTCCGCAAAACGCTCGTAGTCTTTCAAATTTCCCTGGCCTGCTAGCGCAGGGCTCCTCTTCAATTATCCGACAGGCGGCGTACGTTTCCCGGCTAGTTAAGATATTAGCAGCGCGTAACACAATCATGGAGTGCACATAACCCCACGCAAGATGGCGTTCTCCTTGCGTCATCAAGTTTTGAGGCACCAAAATAGCAAATTATGTTTCATGCTGACTACACGGCGCGTTGCTAACAAATATCAGTGATCAGCACCACTTATATTAAACGTTTCTAAATACCTTATCTGCAATACTCCCGTAGAGTCCCTGAGATGAACTGTTCCTTTTGTGAAGCAAATACCAGGTTCAAATCTCTATCTTCTCACCAATTATCGTTCCAAACAATACTCTAATCCTTGTTAATATTGCCAACACCTTCTATACCAATTAATTAATCTAAATGTTTATTACACTATAACTGAAAATTTTCACATAATATTAAGTAAAAAGAAACCTACATCCTCTTTTCCGTCTCAAGTCCAGCAACGAGTTTCTCTGCAATACTAAGACAATGCAACATAAGATCCATTTCTTGCTGCAGTTTCTTTCTATCTTTCACAGTTCCATCATATTTATTAGCAAACTTTTTAAGTTCAATTTTAGCCATTTCAATTTCTTGTGTCAGTTCCTTAAGGTCTGTTTCCATCTAGAATCAATTAAAAACATATTAATTCAAGAAAACACAAGATATACATTATTTTTAAAATTGTATTAATTATTAACAGAATGAATTTGTAATTTATTATATAAAGCCTCACATTTTGATATCTTCTGTATTTCCTTAAACTATTCATCAAGTTTCAGAGATATCTACTATATCTCTGAAAAAATCTCTAGCATTCTGTGACGCATTGACTAACCAGCGACCGATATGCACAAGATCGGGGCGCAGCCTGTCTCCCACAGAAGTTAAGAGAAGGAAATCACGAGAGAGAGATGAGAAGATTTCACAGAAATTATGAGGATTCGTCCCTCACATGAAACGGTCCGACCAATGTCTTATGCTGGCCTTACATTAGCAATACGTTTCCGCAATATCTTTCAACAATTTGTTTCTGCTTCTTATGGTCATGGTCTTATTGGCAATATATAGTCAGAAAGATCTGAGCAAGATCTTCCCGGCAAGATATTGTCGATCGCTTTATATTAGGACTATTTATTGCCGTATTTCGTGACGGCGCGAGGAAAATGGCGCATGAAATTATGTGAGGTTATACCTCACTTCCTGACATAACTAGTGGAAGGCAAAGATGCGAGTTGCACCTATTGGGCTAAATGAGATGAAGTAACGCCGACGATTTGTGAGGACATGTGCCTGTATTTTAAGAAGAAAGGAAAAGGGGGCTTCTGCGAATTAGGTAGAAATGTCTGAATATTTTTCATAAAACAAAATGATTCCGTGGATTTCGATCCCCTTGGGAGCAATGTAATTTTCTTTTAATAAAAAGTGGAATTACTAATTCGGTAAAAAGTTTTAAAATATCCATTTCTTACTACTGATGTATTATAGGGAAATCTTAACACTGATTTAGATTATATTAATATCTTAATAAAATTTAACGTAAAAAATTAATAATCAGGGGGCATCTATGGCTGAATCAAAATTTGAACCTTTGATAATCAACCATAGAGGTAATATTTATTACTAATTCTTTTTTTTGTCGTAAACCTTTTTCACACACACATTTTCCGAAAAATTGCATATTAAAATTGGAAATACTACGTCTATGTACTACCGTACGTAATTCCTTCGCATGTGACCGTGATCATCATTGGCTTCTTCCAGCAATATCTTACTCATACTTCAATCCAATTCTAGTCCCAGCAACAGCTCGAAATATCTTCCAGAGGATGGAAACACACGAGTTTACATTACGACCGGAATATCTAGCAAGAAATATTGCCAACATCGGAAATATTTATTGCCGCAATGTTTACATTGGCAACATTTCTTGCGAAATAATATTGCTCGCCACCTTCTTGCAAGTGTAAAGCCAGCTTTAACGAAAACGGACGAGTATGAATCAGACTTCTGGGTCTGCTCAGAGAATCAGACAGTCAGAAAGAGTAGAGAGAAATGGGGAGATCTTTCCTTTTTTTCCTTGCTCTCTCGCCCCGTTACTTACACACACACACACTCACATGCACTACACCATCACACTCGTAGGGAGACTATTCGGGATCATAGAGCTTGTCCCTATTAAGACTGTGCCCAGCTAATGGGATGAACCTGGTCAGGCGAAAACCCCATGAGCCGACGGTAAAACGGCATCGGAACTCGTCATCCCTTACCGATTACCCCCTTACCCTTACGGGACTAATGAACTTGGCGGTTGAAGTGTTCGGAATCACTAATGAATCAATCAACTGAATGCTGAGAAGCCAATTGAGGCCAGAATTGAGCCGTCCAAAATAAATTCGTCAACGTGTTTTAGATTAATCTCCGGAGCATGACAGTGTAACCTACACCATCGTTCAATTAGGGGTGGGGTTTTACAATATAGACATATACATAAACAGACAACATACCCGATCTCTTTCTTTCTCCATAGACTGCACATGATCCTTTTTCGGCTTTGCTTCTCTATAGACCTGGCAATAGGCAAGTACGGATTCAATAAACTTCAGCATACAAAATCCTGCTTTACTTATCAGCTTCATTTGGTCCAATTTTTGTGTTTTCTGCGAACAGAATAATATATTATGAAGGACATCAGAATCAAGATCGCAGTATTTAATGGTAGTATATATCGAATGTAAATTGGAATTAATTTGGTTTGCAAGCTTCACTCCCAAGAATTCATAATTACTACGAAAAACATATTTAAGAAATATTCGGATTTTCTTTCCATTAAATCATATAAAAACGTTTTTGGAGAATGAAATATTAATAGAAGCAAGCGCAGTAACAGTAGCAAGTGCAGAGAAATTCAAAATGTTATTCTCTTATCCTAAATGAATGAAAAACATTTGAAATTTTCATAAGCAAATTCGAATTTAATGCTTCTACAATGGTAATGCAACTGAACTGAATTCATTACATTCATATTTCCTAATATTTGTGTATATTAATGTTATAACTTCAAAATAACCTTCATGTGCGCTTTAACAGCACGAATTTGGTGCATAGTGATGAGTTCACAATTTGTCTCCTGCAGAGATTTGAGAAAGTTGGAATCTGCCATCATTCCTTTGGCAGCTTTCCAACTAACATCTTTAATACCTCGAAGAATAGCAACACATTCACAAACGATAAGCAAAGGTTCTGGTGGCGTTGCAAGAGACCTGCACAAAAATATTGCAGTGTAAATATTGCAAAAAATTGTAAATACATGCAAATACCCTACCATTTTACACATCAAAAACTTACTGAAGCCAAAGAAAAGATATGCCTATATCTGAAGACACAAAAGAAGAAAGAAGTTTAAAAGATATGCTCTTATTTGCCTGTATTAGGAAGATCTGTATGTATGCATGCATGCTTACGTATTTAAATGCATACTAGCCAAAGACGAATGGTCATTACGCACTTAGTAAATTATTGTTTTCAAGGGAAAAATAGAAAGTGGTGAGTCCATGACCACGCCTAGGTACGGTCCGTCTTTTCCCGCCTACGTACAGCTCCTAGCGCACATGTAACGCAAGCTGGCGTCTCTAACTTATCACTTATCGCCCCACATTGTTCCAGTCGAGAGGGCAGGTAATGAAGAGGGGCCCGTCCATGTGTAACGTGTGCCTGGCTCACGTTCCAGACTCCCAGAAAGATGGATGCTCTTACGTGATGGACGGTCGATGGGATTGTCCGCCATGTCACAGAACATAAGCACCCTTAGGTAGGTAACATCCATGCCCAAGAGGAATTCGAACGCGTATCCCTTCTTGGCGAGACCATCACTGAACTCAATCCTTCGCAATCTCGACCATTCGGCCCGGCCATTGTTTTGGCATTGCTAATGCACTCACAACTTTGTCCACATTTCTTTTCCCTACCTGCATTCTTAGCTTTGATCATTTCATTTTCAATTTCTTAATATATTCGGCTACACAGCTTGGGTACAGAATCAAGTTCTGGAAGTATTTTCCTTCTTTTTTACGGTTATTTTTAAAAATAATAATTTCAAGCATACACATGCCTAGAAAACTGTTTCTTTCATTTTAAAACAGACGTTAAAATATATTATGCATTACCGACACCGAATGCTATTTTTACATATGTTTGATACAGCAATAGGAACTCAACAGTTTGCTCTAATATATTAGTTTCTCCACTAAATATGTGAACTTAATCTTTAACTTCCTCTAGCCTTTGCTTGGTTTTAGTTTCAGACAAAACTGCAATTTCCACATCCAATTTTCTCAACTTTCAAAGATTTCTAAACGTTTCTAATTTTAAAAAATATACATTGAATGTACCTATATTTATTAACAGTTTTCATTAGCTTTATCACTTCATGAATATTTCTTATCTATTATTAGTGGATATTTAGCGGTTTTGCGTTATTAATTAGGATAAAGGTTTTGGTTACCATTAAATCTTAACATGGAGAACCAGAGATTTTTCCTCGGATCTTTCCCCTAAACAGGAAGAAACCCCACCCGACTAGAGAATTCTGTCCATCCTTACCCACAAGAAAATATAGGAAGGAATTTACGAACATAGACTCGTAGACTTGAGAATGTGAGCGATCGGTGTGGTGAGTTAGCGTAGGCGCGGCAGATGAGTTCCCCCCATAAAGTTTTAAGTAACTCAATTTAATTAACTTCTCAATCCTGTAAATGAATTCTGAAATAATTTAATTACCGGTAGTCAATAAGCCAACTTAAAGAAAAGCTATCCTCTTTCACTCAACCACACGCCCTTCGGGATGTTCATCTGCGTGTTTCACGACCTCTACCTACCACAGCCAAGAGAGCCGGGCGTCGGGAGAGAAGTGAGGCTGAGTATAAAAGAAATAATAGAGGCCTAACAGTAAAGGCCTACAACAGTTTCACATGGGCAAGATGGTCAAACTGTGGGCTATATTCATTGCATACCACACACATCGGGAGTCTAATCGCGAGCTTACAGGGTCTCCCAGCTGAAGCGATGACCACTGGACAGATACCTTATCGAATAGAATATTTATTTTGCTACTTAGGAATACATAGATATATTTATGATGGTAGCTTTTTCTAAATAGTAACTACAAATACACAAAACAAACACTCAAACAAACATTACAATATTTGCGTATAACTTAATACAAAAGTAATGTATTAACCGTACCATGCTAAAGCTGATCTACTAATATAAAATAACAATAACAATAGAAAAAATAATTTTAATATTAACAAATTCTAAAAACATACAAATTATTAATCTATTTTTTTTAAACTGACATTCTAAGGGAATTCTCCAGCACTGCTGTCGGTAATTCGTTTCAATTTTGTATTGTTCTGTTTACAAATGAGAATTTACCTACATGTTTTCTCCGTTTTCTTGGCCGAATTTCGGAGATACGATCCTTCTGCGCGACGTCTGTTGCTTTTGATAATCTTGCCTACATTTCTCCCCAAAGACGATCACCTCTTTTTGATTTGAATGACGCCCAAAGAAGCGATTTCTCTTTCCGTTTTTCCAAAGGTTCCCACGATTTAAATTCAGAATAGGAATGTCCTAACAAATGTTGCCGTATATTTTTGTACTTTTTTGCGAGATTTTATTTGCCCTAAACAATATGGGTCTTAATATATAGAGACATATTCACATATCGGACGTACTAGAGATGTGTATCCTAATTCTCTTGATTTTCCACTTCCTTTCCTAAGTACTCTAATTACAAAGTGTAATGCATTCCCTGCCCCTTTCACTACATAATTTACGTGTTCTGCCCATTTCAGATCATCATTTAGTACAATTCCCAAACATTTACAGAATTTAGTTCTCTACCAAATATCATTAAAATATGCCATCAATAACAACGCCATATAATTATCAACAATAGAATATTGATGCATCTTTTTGTCAGAAATATTCAGTGGTGTGTTATCATTTTTTTCCTGCATCCATCATTTATTAAGGCAACAAAAAAAAAAGAAGTGAAGGCAATTCCATACCTGATTTCAGTTATGTCACCTCTATCAAGTTCGGCTATTCCAAGGCATGCAAACTCAAAAGCAGGTAAAGCTTCTGATAAAATGCTCTCAACATCTTCTTTCTCAGCGTTAATCAAACGACTTTTTTCTTCTATCTCAGCATTCTTTCTCTGAGCCCGTTCATTTAGTTTTGTTATTTTCTCAGTAGCTGATACAATACAAAGTATTAAACAAAGATAAATTATCATCTACAGATGTAGAAAGCTGACAAGGGAATAAATCGACAACAGTGTAACTCAAAGAATTTTTTAGATTCAAAATTTGATAGTGAAAAAATGACATGTTGGGAAACATGATGTGTTAACATCAAGTCACAATTTAAAAGACATCTCTTGGTCCTATATTGTCCTAGTACAACAAAGATGGATATTTACCCACCCAAACATACTGTAATTCACTTTGTAAAACATGTTAAGTCAAATGCTTCATACCTATTTTAATTTTCATCAACATTTTCTCACATGATTTTGTCTTCTGCTCAATGGCCTCCTTCTGTGTAATAATTTTAGACTGAAGATCATTCATTTGAGTTTGAGCCTCTGCAACTTGTTCTATTGTAGTTGCCAATAGTTGGCACTAAAAAGACAAGAAAAATATCATCTTGAGTTATAAATTAAAATTCACAAATGTCTGACAGTATAAAATCACCAAATAACATAAAAATATTATCTTAAAAACCATATACTCTTTGCATGTAGTAATTTCAATAGTAGTTGAAATCAATAATAATCAAACTTAATTCATTAATTTCAATACATCCAAAACATGCTTGTTTACAGAATAAACTTTTTACCATACTTTTTCACTTATAGATGCACTTTTTTCTTCAAGAAGGAGCAAATAAGTGTGAATGTAATCATGAAAGTGTTTTGGAGTAACATAATTTTTTTGATGATGGACTTGGAAGAATTCTTCAGTATATTTATTAACAGAAGAATGAACATGCACCATATGTTTAACAATGTTGGGTTGATAAAGTGCTGGTATTTTTGCATCCTAGGGATAAATAAAATTAATCAGACACCATTCATTATGCATTTTCAAATACATATGTCAATAACTAAGTATATATTCTCAAATTCTAAATAATAATTCAATATTACATTCTAGAATTAAAATTTGATTAATTTTAGACATAGCAAAAATGTACAAAAGAAAAAAAAATAATACACATACCATATGATGGAGAAAAAACACTTCTATGTTTAGTCATCTTTTAAAAAGGTGCAATCGAAAACATTTTAATTTAATTTTGGAATTGTTCAGAAGTGTGTGGTGATCGCACCCTATAGTTTGTTATTACAGTCAAATTCGGTCACATACTTACATGGAAGTTGCTTGTTGCTTTACTCGGTCCTCTGACCATCTAAAGAAGTGTGACTTAAATATGAAGTCGGATTGCTACAAATATTGAGGCAATCAAAGGAAAGAAAACTCCCAATTTTCAATGTAATTTTTTTTCCCCCTGGGAGCACTTATGCCTATCTGCTACCCGTTTTATGCTGATTCTCTTGGATAATTCTCCAATTTCTTTTATGGTTTCAGCATACATTTTTCATATTCGCCTCTTATATCAGCTATTATATTTCTTCTTGTTTGATCTATATATTGTTTATTGTTAACCAATATGGAACTTTGCAAGATGGTGTACAATATTCCCGAGAATGTAAAGATTTTTCAAATGTTCTCAACAGAAAGAAGAACAAGAAGATAAAATTGACAAATAGCCACTTAAATGATGCAATATATCCTATTCAACTGTATCTTGATAATTAACTATAATTATAAATACTTTCTGATGATCACGTCTGTGCACATACACAAAGTTCACAAGTTCTTCAGTTCCATCTAGTTGGCGAGACCGATGGCAACCGTCAAAAAATTTGGCTGGTTTTGGGGATGGCGAAAAAAAACAGCAATGGCTCTCAAATTACTAAAGAAAGTTTTGCACTCGCACATGTTATGAAAGCTATGGGAAAGTACTCAATGCAAGACATGTGCCGCAGAAATGGAAAAAAAAACTGCTTGAAGATTATTAAGTTTTGCAACGGCTTGAACTGGGACTGAACGCCGTTACACATTTCTGAAATTGATGCTGCGTCGTCATAAGGCTGAGCCATAGACATTCGATACATCCGTATAGTATTATATGCATATAGCCTGACCTATAAGTTTGTAATTCCAGTCAATTTATGTCAAATATTCAATTTCTGCTATCACTGAAGCGCTTCGGTTCGCACTTACATCACGAAATCCGATAAACACATTCGATCTCAGGCAAATAAATTATTTATTTATGATTTTATTTGTATATCATTTTTGAAGCGGGTCAACTGGCAGGTTTGAACTAAACGTATTTTTCTGTGTTAAGGGGTCTGATTCTCTGCGTCGCACCCGACCCAACGATCACGGGTACATCTGCACGAGAGCAGACACCAGGCCATAGAGTTCACCCTCCGTGTCCGTCCAAACGGCCGCTCGCTGCCATGAGCACTGGCTGCATCATATCGCAACGATCGACCCGATCGTTGCGTTCTTTCTGTGAAACTCTCTCTCATCTCTCTCGTTCAATTGGTATCTGTGAGAGTAACTGCTTCCTATTGGCTAATTACTCTGAGGTGACAAAAGTCATGGGATAGCAGTATGCAATGTTGCAGTTGGCAGTAGTATCGAGTACGAAGAGTAAAAAGGGCAGTACATTGGCGGAACTTTCTTTTGTATTCAAATGATTCATGTGAAATGATTTCTGGCGTGATTATAGCCACACGACGGGAATTAAGAAACTTAGAACACGGCTGGAATGGTAGTTGGAGCTAGAAATATGGGGCATTCCATTTCTAATATCGTTGGGGAATTCAGTATTCCGAGATTCACAGTGACAAGGGTATGCCGAGAATGACTCATTTTAAGCACAAACTCTCACCAAGGACACGTCCTTCACTTAATGACCGAATTTTCAGTGCTAACAGACAACCAGCACTGTGTGAAGTAACAGCAGAAATCAATGTGGTACGTATTACAAACATCTGTTAGGTCAGTGCGGCGAAATTTGGCTGTAATGGGTTATGGCAACAGAAGAACGATTCGAATACCTTTACTACCTAACAGCGCGACATTGCCTGCAGCGCCACTTCTGGACTCGTGACCATATCGACTGGATTCTAGAACTGCAACCCCTCCACTGAAAAGAGTAAACGCCTATCTTTTGGCAAACGTTGGTGTCTTTGAGCATTTACTCGAGAGTCAGTTTTTGTCATTTAAAGGAAATTATATTCTATTATTTTTATTAATTATTTTCAATAATTATTAATTTACTACTTATTTGTTTTATTGGTATTTTTAATAATTTTATTAAAACTTTCTTATTTGCTTAATAATCAGATTCAAGCGGCTAGGCGGTAATGTTTCACGAGATATCTTTCTGATTTCTCCCTGTGCCGACTTTCATTAAATAATAATTATTGTTACGTTGGTGTTAAAAAAATTGATAAACAGTCATATCTTCCTTCCACATCTTCAGTATAACTGTTGTTTCTTAAGCACACTGGACAGAATCGCCTAAAGAAACGTTTTGTTTTTCCTCCCATGCCTCAGCCCACCCCACCCACTCTGTGCAGCGCGAAAAGCTTCCAGCGGTTGAGCCGCGTACCAGCGTACAATTGAATGGGAAAAACACAGAAACAGGAAAGTTGCTGCAGCTTACGACCGAACAGTCGCATCCTCCTCTGCTGTCTCGACGTGCCAGGCACGACGGTCTTCAAAGGTGGCAAAGACTCGCGGTTGCCGAATTGCCAAAACAAGAACAAGTGCTCTCCGACATGGGTTGCGAGTTAGCTAACGATTCTGTATATGCAATAAATATAAATGATTGGGGGTAAACTGAATTTGAAATATTTTCTTTCAAACCAAAATACCTCAGTCAGGTAGAAAGTAGCAACTGCTGTCAGAGCCCGATCAGGCCACGTAACAATCCAGTCAACAGTAGTGTTGTTCAGCAGACTAGGATAGCTTCGACAGCAATTGCGGAAATCATCTCCCACAGGTGACATACATATAACCACATGCAAATTATTTTGGCATTTTTTAGAAATATAATTCCACACTTGATCACTGCAAAAAAATAAAATCATCAATTAAGTTTTGTGAAGAGGATTATCAAAGTATACACACTCTGGAAGAGAAATGAACGAATTTCACAGAATGAGAAGTCCTAAATTAATTGATAACTGAAAAATAAAGCGATATACCGTATTTTAACGATTATAAGTCCCCACCCCTTTTCCAAAAATTGGCGACAAAAATGGAGGGGGTAATATGCGAGTATGAAGCGAAATAGTTTTTTTTCAAAAATTGTGTTTCATTTTTTAAAGTAACAAATGAATAGATATTTTTATTATTGTCATCCCATGTGCTACTTTCTTAGGACTTCACAACAATAAAAGTTGCAAGAAATTAGCAGTTTTTAGACATTATTGTAACTCTCGCCTGAGTCATAGCGAAATGTAATTGTGAGCAAATTCCAAACACGTGATTCTGGTAAGTCTTTCTATATTAAGCTAGGAATTTCACCATTTCCTTGCCTCTTGATTTATGGACTAGTGGTTTTTGTCAAAAATGAATTGCTCAGGGGGTGGGAACACATTTTCAGCGAATACCTATTTCTAAACCTATAACACTTGATGAAGTAATCATATTCATCAGGTGACAGAATCATCAGCTCACCACAAAAAATCACATCCAATACATTTTCCTTTTTATTTCAATACATTGTCAGATGACATTAAATGATTAATATTGATACAAAAGTTTAAGTGAAAGTAAAAGCTTTTATACTGCATAACTGTTCTAACAATTAGAGACTTACCGAGCATCAAAAATGAAAGTAATATTAATTTTAACCATGATATTTAATGATTTTTTTGATTGATTGATTGATTAGTGATTTCAACTGCTAAGGTCATTAGTCCCGTAAGTGTAATGCATTTTTCTCGCGGGTGAACTTCCCCCGCTGGATGGTGAGATCCAGCGCCGGCTTACCGTCGGCTTGCGGGGGTTTTCCCCAAGAAGGTATCCCCTACCAGCGGGGCACCGCCCCAGTCGGGACAAGCTTTTAGTTCCCATCCTGTCTCCCTGCATGTGGGAAGTAAAGGATGAGGATAGGACAAGGAAGACGAAGGAAATCTCCAGACAGCGACTGAACTATCTATAAATGATGTCGTGGGCTTCCGCGGCCAGAATCATGTGCGTGTTCTGGGCTGTCCGAGTGACGCCGCGTCGAAGGCTGTGTTGCCGACGTTTCGACCATCTTGTCGAGGTCTTCCGCATACCAGCCATGTGGAAGACGGATCACTCTTCACCACGACAATGCGAGCTCTCACACATCGGCTCAAACAACTGCATTTTTGAGCACCCAAAACATCGATTTGATGAGTCATCCGCCGTATAGTCCTGACTTGGCACCGAATGACTTCTTTTTATTCCCGTACGTAAAAAACAAACTGAGAGGTCAACGTTTTTCGACTCCTGAAGAAGCGGTTGCTGCATTCAGAATGCATGTTTTAGAGATACCTCAATCAGAGTGGCAAAAGTGCTTCGACAATTGGTTCAAACGCAAGCAAAAGTGTATAGATCTTCATGGGGAATATTTTGAAAAACAATAAAGTGATTTCGATGATTAATAATTGTTTTTGTTCTCTAATCCTGAAATATAAAAGGCAATCCTCATACCTGCCTCATTGCATTACCCAGAATCATGAAATTGAGATGAAATAATGACAGTTAGAAATCCGTAAAAAACAAGTGATTTTAGGATAGAATGAAGTACAAAAGACAACATGCGCCTGCCATCTGTGAGGGATTATTGCACATTAACCCATTTATGGGCACTTTCTTTAAATCTACCAGCTTTTTTGTGGTTGATCAATATCCATCTTGATGGATAGACTTTATCATGTGGCAAAGGAAAATTGTGCTGCAACTGCGATTATGAATGGTGAAGCTCTACAATAACTGTGCTGGCTATACAACTTTGCCTTTTTAATTTCTCTTATACATAGTAAAGAGAAAGTACTGTAATTCTGAAGCAAAAAAAGACCTTTTTTACAGAAAATCACGTTTTCTAGGTATCTGATATCAGAAAAGTGGATATTTCATTGAATAATAATAGTGCTCCAATGTATGTAGTAAATGACTTTCTCTAAGACATTGTGTCGTCAGAATCCATATTTTGTTGGTCCTTAATGCTGAGAAAAGGGTTTTCAGCAATCTATCTGTCCATCATACAACTCTCTTACAATTGTTCTAAACAGTTTAAAGCAATTTTGGAAGACAATTGCTCATTAATGGTGAACTGATTTCTATTACTAAATGATTATATAATATATGCGTCCTTTTTGCCATGTGAACATTATAGCAGGTTACAATCATTCTGTTAAGTTTATTAGATAAGTACTCATCCAATTCACATAAAACCTGATGACAATTTATGAACTCTTACAATTACACAAAATCAATTCTTACTTGCTTATGCCAAATCCAGCCTCTTCAGACGCAGCCTGAAATGCAGAGGTTAATTGACCTTTGGCATCTTCAGAAAAAAGGGTTGATATTATTCCATACTTCAGAATTTTTTCAATATACCAAAAATAACCTAGACAGAATGTAGTATGAATTGTAGATTCAATCACCATTTATCATCAAAGATTCTTAATTGTTAACAATGTTCTCTTATACAAAAAGGCATAATGAACAAATAGAAGATGAATATGTAAAATGCATGTATTTAATTAACTCTTCATATATTGTACATTGGTTGTAATATATATTGTTATACACAGACTTTTGATTTGAGTGGCTATAAGTGATCTTATAATTTTCATTTATGTGTTAGATATTGATTTGATAGTTATTTTGTTTTATTTACAGTTTTATCAAATTAATGAAAAGTAGTTAATACAAATTTCAATCAAACAAATCAATTTTATATAGAAAAAAAGGAAGGAAAACATGCATAAAAATAATGATTTGTACATTTCTGTACAAGTGACTTGGTATATAGTATGATGTGATTTGAACCATTTTGACCATGTGTACCTGGTTAATGAGGTTAAAATACCCCCAGTTCTGAAGATTCAAATTATTATTAGAATTGAAAAATAATTATTAGGAATTATTATTATAGTTAGAAAGTATCAGTGAAAGTAAAAAAAAATTACTCCTCATTGTGAAAAAGTTGCTACCCATTTCCCCTAACTGAGAGTCATTAAAGTGCCTGTTTTTACATTTTATTTTTTCTCAATTCCAAAAAAAGTTAATTCTTTAGGAAAAATAATATGCCATACAAATGACTTCAAGGTCTCTTTGGTGATTTTTTTAAATTCCTAGTTCTAAGAACCCCAAATAAATATAAAAAAGAGAAAGCTAATTTTTCTACTTCAAATGTGCAAATACTAATTTTTGGTGTTTGTTTTAATTTTGATGCACTGAAAAAATGTTAATATTACATTTTTTACGATTTTCAGAGTGGTGCATCACATCAGAACTCTAATTTTTCGATTTCAATAAAATGTATTGACCATAAGATATGACTAGCATTTTTAAATCATTTGATGTTGCCTGCTTTTGATAACAGCACAATTAAAATTAAAAACTCAGCTACTCACAAGTAGAAAGGTCTCCACTTTTTGGAAAACAAGACACTTAACAAAATATTGATACCAACATGAAACAAAATTATGTGTATGGCTAATCTAGAGTTACAATGAAATATTTTAATCAACATGAAATTATTTACATATACATTATTAGGACCAGCTGTTAAGAAATATAATGGTCATTATTATGGTAAAGTAGTAAGTTGTTGTTGTTTGTTTTTTTTATTTCGCCCACTCATTATACTTGTAACATGAAAAAAGGAGGAAGTAAATTTTTAAAAGGTTTTTTTATTATTTAGCCAAGTCACCAAGCATGAGAAGACTTTTTAGGGTACTTTTAGGATTTTTATTACTTTCCCCTCCTACTCTCATAGAAATAGCGACCGAATAAGTAATAAATATTATGAGAACTAACTTGTAACTACAATTGAGAATTTTTTCACGAATAAATAAAAATTTTTAATAAAACTTAGTATTCTGAATTGCTTTTCAAATACAATGAAGTGGAGAGGTTGAAAAATTACCACCTTGCCCAAATAACAACCACTTTACTATATTTGCTTTTGTAATAAAAAGCTTCTAAAAAGAAATATAATAATTTTTCATAGTGCATTACCCAATGCAATAATTAATGGATTATACAATTAAAGGAGATGAAATTACATTGTCATAACCAGCAATCCAGACATTTCTCAGTTTGTGTATTCACTTTCTTCTGTTTTCTGTATACATATTATAGTTCTACAATGATAATTTTTTGTGAAATGTGGGTTATCACAATGTTTCTCCAACACATTTAATTATGAAATGTCATAGAAGTGAAGAATTTTATTCATAATAAATAAACGTGAATAATATTAACTTAGTTTTTGTTCATACTGAAATATCTATTATGTAATGTAGATGTTAGAAATTTAGTACAAATATTTTTACTTCTTCAGGAAAACCACAGTACTTACCATTACGGAACACTTGAGAAGCAGTGATGAGAAAGACAATGCTCTTACTGTTGACTGCCAATTTTTTGTACAAGGTTTTGAGATCTTCTTTAAATGAATTTTCATTATAATCATAGGAGGGTTGAATTGTGAATAAATCATGACCTATAGAGTATTTTCTTCATTTAGAGAATATTCATAATTCATTTGTTTGTAAAATAAAATAAATAGAATTACTGTGCATAAGTACAATAGCTATTTTCCATAAAATCCACTAAAATTGTAAGCATGCTTTGGCATAATGAAGAAACATGTATCTCATTCATTTCATTCTTTCCCTTTCACATATGCATTGTGATACAATTCAACACAATGTTATGCTATATAAAATAAAATATTTTGTCCGGTTCACCATTTTAAAGTTTTGATTAAATTAATATACAATTTAAATTATCAATAAAAAAATGGTACATCTGGGTACGAGCTTAACCAGAATTTTGGCGGTGGTGAATGACCTGTCTTTACTACAAGGGGTGTAAGGTGGAGCAAATGAAATGTTGCTTTGGAATTAATTTTAGAAAACTTAATTTTAAAAAATGCATATGAACATGTAAAGTTCTCTCAGTGGTATTTTTACTAACTCGCTATGGAGAAGAGAGAAAGTTATGTATGCTTCAAGAAAAAACGGTGAATTTTCAAACAGAAAAATTCTTATTACAGAGCCCTGGTAACAAAAAAGTGGATAAATCCAGTTGCTAAATTTAGGGGAAATCCTCTAACATGTGGTGTATTCATGTTTTGTGGGTCCTTGATACTGAAAAATCAAATAATGGCCAAACATCTGTCCACCATCCATCTGTGAACAACGCTAATGGCTAAACTGTTCAGCTAATTTTCTCCAAAATTGATATTCCTCAATCGAATGAATCTGGGATACTTTCCAAATTTTCAAAAAAATTGCTCCATTGTTTTTGATTAAATTTTTGGTGTTGGATATTGTACAGGACGTTTAAGAGAATAGTGTAGGTCTCGTACACATTAAAAATCCTGATTTTTCAAAAATATCAATATTTTTTTAATTTTTTTTTTTAATCTGGAACTAAAATATTAAGGATGGAGATTTTTCTCCTTTAATGAAATCTGTTCCTTAAAGATAGATTTCAAAATAGAGTCATAGACAATTTTTCGAAAATTTTAGTACTTTCACATAATTTTGTGTGAAAATACGGGTGAGAAAGTACGTGCTGTTTTAGCACCTCTAGTTTTGCTTTTATGAAAAAGAAGAGAAGTTTCAAGATTTAGGAGACAGTGGTCTCACTGTTCTCTCTAGCTTATGCCCATGTATATGACAATCTTTTGATGATACATTCATGACTGGTCTCATTTTTGTGGCTTTCTTTCTTGAAGATTAGAGATTATTCAATTAACTTCTGAAGCACATGGACATATGCTTCAAATAAGTTTGGCTACATTTACCTGCTGTATATGCTGCTAAATGAGTAATACTTTTTTTCCCAGAACTAGTAACTCCAATTAATGTCATGTGACCGTTGTGCATTCGAAGAACACGATGCACTCGAATGAAATGTTCCAGCACGTCATCAAATAGGACTAAGTTAAGACTGACATTCTTCTCATTGTATTTACTTAAAATCTGAAATATAATACATACATCAGGACAATGTTTTGTGACTGCAGTATTTTTAATTTGAATCGTACCAAAATGTAATTCCAATTAACTAAACCACAAAATGTTTTGCTAACAGAAGGGTAGTTAAGTACCTCTATTAATTTGGTCTTAAACTAGTATTAAGTCTTTCAATATTTAAAATATTAACTTAGTAAGGTCACAGGATTAAAACCATTTATAATTCAAATAGATTTTTCCAATTCCATTAATATATGATATTATCTAATTTTATAAGACATGTCAGCATAAAAAGTTAAGTCAAATTTTGCAAAAATATAAATGCTACAATATGAACACAACAAAAATACTCACTTCTCTAACAAGGGCATAGACTGCATCATAATCCAAAAGATCTTCATATTGTCTTTGTTTTGGAGCATTTAAGACATTGCGGAAGTCACCAAACAGTAAAGGCTCTCGAAGAACAGAATCAGACCACTGAGGAAATACTTTGGCTGAAGTTTCTGCTACTGCTTGCCTCATAATAAATAAGTCCTGTTGAAAGTGTTTAGTAAGTTCTTTTGTGTTAGTTATTATAGTAAATTACAGTAAGTTCTTTTCTGTTAATCCATTTTCCTAGTGATCCCAAATGGGAACATGCTGTCATCGGATAATTTTTTTCAATAACCGCTTAACTTTTCTGACCAAGTCTTAAAGGTTGTTAGTTTAAGAAAACTCTTGATATGTCTATTGTAACAAAATATTAACTTGAGTGAGAAGATCTGGTCCTTTGGAAAGTAGTTGTTTTGCTGCTCTTTCATGAATTCAAAGAAATAAGTATAAAACACATGTATAACTTTGTATTTTGTCACAGATATTTTTAACATGTTCAGTATATATGAGTAATACCAAATGAGACTGATCAAATTATATTTCCATGTTGTTCCAAAATTTATGAGCGTTTATTGTTGTTTTTGTTTCCATTTGGGAACTCTGCTGTTTTGATAGTACAGTCGCATGGGCACAGACAGCTGGCGCCCGCGCATGCAAAATGACGTAGCTCCACCTCGAAAAGAGCGTTGTTGTAGTTGTTTTCTTTTTTTCTCCGGCTTAGCGGAAGGTTTGTGTGATTTTTGTGTTGCAGTTCGCACGCATTTCCCATTTTACTGCTATGTGTAAGTGGCTAGTGTGTGTTCGCGTCGGACTTAAATCAATACCCAAATCGGCTTGTGTTGCACTACGCCCTCAGAATATCTGAGGGTATGCTTGTCTTCTTCGTCTTATAGTGAGGACGTATCGAGCTAATTGTTTTACCGTTGCCAGAGCTTCGTAGGTTTGAAAGGCTTGATAGGCTTCCTTAAACCAAAGCCGTCTTAAGCATTGAGTGAAGGACTCGATATCAAGTTCCTTCCTCAGAACTTTCAACCCTTTCCGAAACGGAGGGCGTGCTATGAACTTTGTTCTGTACAAACTCCTACAAGTGTATCCTTGTACTTTCGTGCTGTAGTCCACCCCGATGCCGCAGCGTAGGAGTCTCGAAAAAGTGTCTCAGCAGTAAGGCCCTATATAACAACCCGACCTCTACATGGAGGGTGAACGGATACTTCTCGTTAGAACGTCACCCGTGTGTATGATCCTTCCGCTCCTCTGCCGGTTCAGATCGGCCCAAAGTGGCCCTGCCGACCTCCCTTCACTCCTAATTGGTTCAGATCGGCCCTGACTGGTCCTGCTGACGCTCCTCCACCCGCCAGTCCAGACCGACCCTCCTGCTAGCTCCGCGCCCTCTCTCCGCCGCGTGCACTCCGAGAATCGCCGACCCGTCCGATGGCCGCTGCCAAGACCGCCCTCGCCGAGGCTGGGCTAGGCCAGGTGCCGATGCCCGTGGAACACTGCGCAATAAAACTGCTGTTTGCCATGACGTGAGTCATCCCTGTTCTCATTGCTCCCTCTCATCCGTCCGTAGGCCTGTAGGAGAATAGGGAACGGCCCGGGGGGCTACCGTACTACTTCCCTTCCCCCCGGACGTGGTGCCAGACGCTTCGCCTACGACAGTACAGTACGTACATTGAAAAATGATGTTTAGTTTCTACTTTGGAAGAAGTCACTGCTTTACTGGATAAAAGTAACATTACAGAAGATTTTTATTTACTTCTAGCAATTGATGGAGCAGAAACTAAGAGGGAAAGTGGTGATAATGAAGGTACAACTACCCCCCTCCCCAAATAATTGTTTGTGTAAATAGTAGCAGGCTATTGCTGAAGTGAGAATCCAGCCAATGGACGTTTCTCAGTATATTGGAATAGACAATATTAGAGAGTCTGTTGTTGAAACTGTAATCAATGAAGTCCTTCCCTCAAAATTTAATTAATAGGTAGGTAGTAGAATTGTAATAGAACCTAAAAAAAACTGTGAATCATAACTGGATAAAAAAGCTATCAATCAATTTTTTAACCATTTTCCCATTTTCCAGGCAAAAAATTCAGGCTAATATAGTTTAATGGAGATAAAATCTCCATTTAAAAATATTTCTTATGCACTTAACCACAATGCACATAATTTTGAATCTAGAAAATTTAATGATAACAAAAGTTCCAAAACTCACAGATCACATTTTCAGTAACTGCAACCATCATGTCTAAACCCACAAAAAATTAAGTACCTCTTCACAGATAAGACGGTCCATGAAGATTCGCTGGCATTCATTGTGCCACAGCCGTGCTAAATCTCCTGGTTTTGAGAAGTGACCAGGACTTCCCATGCATAATCCACTTATAATTCGTGAAATGTCATGCAGAGTAAAAATGTAATGAAATTTGGCAGGTACTGGTAGTAGTTTTGTTTTCGCCATCTGAAAAATTACATAGTTACAAAGGGCAATGATACAACGCAAGATTTTTACACTTTAAATTCCTTCTTATATTTTATTTTTATTTTAATATTTTTCTATTAATTAACAGTGAATCAAACTGGTATACTGAACAATTGATAGACTACTGGTATGGCAAATAGTATTTGTTAAATAAATACTTCAATTTTAAAAAATAGTAAAATATTCTTAAATTACAATTTGCATACATGTAATACCTGATACAACTGGAGAGTAGCATCAATAACATTTTCAGTAATATTCACTACTTCTGATTCAAACTTCTGTGCTATCAAATGACCCTTAAGAACTGCAGTAAAAATATGTGAAATGTTGTGATCAGAAGGGGAAATCAGATAAAATATACTAAACTTAGAAATGAAACGAGGGTCAATACAATGGGATCCACCAATGGTGATATCCATAGCTGCCAAAAACCCTTTAACAGATAAACAAACAAAAAAATTGTGGAAAAATATACTTGAATATAGTATATTCAAGTAAAATATATTATTAATAAATATTTTTTTTTTTTAAGTATCGGAAAATTATGGGAATTTTAGATTATTACGTTATGTAAAAAATAGAAAGTTTAGTACCCTTATGCAACATCTGTAGCTGCTATTTTCAAAGTAGACAGTTTTTAAAACAGTTATTGTTGCAGCATAAGATATCATTAACTTGCCTGAGTCTTTAATATTCTTCCAAATAATCTCTTTTCCAAAATCATAAAATCCTCCTTGTTCAAATAAGTGTTTGAGCATGGCTAATGGTTGCTGAGTGCCATACTGGTCAACCTGTGAAATTTCAAGGTTATTTAAATTATTTCTCCCATGAAAATCTGATTATGTCCTTAAAGTTATTATGACTGTAACCATTCACTGTCATACTTCATACAGATAATCATATCACACAAAGTTACCTGCAATGTATAGCACCCTGACATTTATTTAATTACCTACCTCATTTCTTTTATTGTAATCTATAATTTTGTAATAATATTTATCCTTTTATTATCTCTCCTAAATTTATGATCTAGTTGATTATTGTTAAAAAAATGTAAATAAAGGACAGTTAAACATTATGCATTAAGGTACTCTTGAGAGGTAGACAATTTCAACAAAGGTAGAAACAAAGTTGAAAAATTATATAATTACAGAACATTCATTAATAGTCTTATACAGTAGAAACATTTTCAATAAAAAATAGTAATTGATTCATTGAAATTGTTCTGAGTCTTATATCAAAGCAAACAAGCTACTACTTTACTGGTACATTATTTCTCTGAAATAATGAATGCTATGTAACAAAAAAATCATAAGTAGCATATTTTGTTGAATTAATTTCTATTTATTATCATCATTCTTTTAACTTTTTTCACTTTCTTGTATACATAGTACATATAGACATTGTATTGTAATCTCACAAAAAAAATGATGTCAACATTTTGGCAGAAAAACACGTCTTGGGAACGAACATACAACCGCCAAACAAAGAAAGACTGTCAGCCCACCTACCTACCTGTCCATCTTCCTGCATTCATTGAATTTTTCTACAAAATTTTTTAAGGCTCCGAGAATTTAAAAGAATCTTTTATGGTAGGAGGGGGAGGGAAAAAGAGACTTTATATGAAGCCCCTAAGAAATTCATAAACAAGATTTTCTGAAAAACAGCCCCATATCTTTTCTTCAAATTTTTACTTAAAGGTAGTAGAATGTGCTTATAAATACAGCACAGATACATTTTTTATTAAAATCTCAGGATTATTTTTTCTTTTGTTGTTTGTTTTTATAGTCGCATCAACCCAAGGTTCTTAGCAACTGTTTAGTATTTTACATTACGGTTCGATATTTGATTTTACATTAGATATTGCAACAGTACCTCGATTCACGCCGTATAAAACGTGGAAATATGCAAAGTAAGCGGGTACAGGAGAGTCGCCGCTACCGGCCCCACGCCCGCCCTACGAGCTCCTCTTGCTGCCTTCTAGGAAAAAGACGCCTACTCACCATCTGAGGCTCGTGTCCATCAACGGCTAAAATGTTTGGCCCAGACGTTACCGTATGCCGGAGCATTGAGTTTCTCAGAAAGAAGTTTAACGCGAATTGCATTTTCAGAATTCTAGGCCCTTTCATAAATAATTTTCAACGGGCATGGGCCGATATTCGATTGGATGAAGTTAAGCCAGACCCCCACACCATTGTTTAAATAGAACGAATAGAGGGCTACTTCGTAGGTAGATGAGTGTGAGGCAGAAGTTCGGTAGTGAGTTTTGTTTGAGAAGTAGATTTATTCCGATGAAAATGTCCGACGAGCAAGCTACGAGGTGCCACCCTGGGTCGTGAGGAAGAGTGCAGCATCTTCCGCAGTCGCTGAAACTTTTTGAAAGGATTGAATACAGCATTAAATTACACGCCGCAAGAAATATTTTCAAAAACGCAAGGTTTGTAATTTTTTTAACAATTTTCATGTTAATATGTACTTCCTATGAGTATGTTATGACTATATTATCCATTTATAGTACACTAATGCTACTAATAATCAGTTATAAAGTTTCTCGAATCTCAATTTTTTTAATATAAATATTTATCATTCTTTACAGGTATTCAGTGTCCTTTTGGCCTTGCTCAATGGTGTGCTGGTAGACTGGAGTCTTCTGGTTAGTGACTTCCTGGTTTGAAGGTAGATGTTTGATTCCCAGGAGTTCTAGGGAACTTATTTTCTTGATTACCCAAGGAGATGGTGTGCAGAATGCCTGAGTCACCCCAGCAGTGTTTTGAAGCCCATTGAACTTTTAGATATGTTTATAATTTCAAGCTCTTTAATACCTTTCAAGGAAAGCTTTATGCTGGCCGATTTTCTTTGAACTTCTTCCAATCCTTTCCGAGACATGTCATCACAAGGATTGAGTCACCCCACACCTTTTGTTACTGCTCCTTGCCACAAAGTTCACAGTAGTTGATGATTTAACTCATAAATGAAGGTAATAAAAATTTTGAAATAATCCTCTTTCAATTATATTTTTTTAAACGTTATTTACTTATATATAGGGGTGATGAAACGAAAGAACGTTTTCTACATATAATTAGCAAAACTGTTATAAATTGATAAGAAGAGAAACCTGTTCGATCAGCGCAGTGGCGCCGCGCCACCGCTGCACAAAACGGTCAAAACGGGGGCAGGTTGACGCGACGCGAGTGACGGTTAGTCAGTATGAACAAGGAGCCACGAGGCCGCCGGGGTAGTTAGCGAAACAAGGAGCACAAGAGCGCGGGTGTATATTTGCGAGGGGGCGCGCTAGTGCCGGGTGAAGAATATAGACGGAGAAGCCGCGGGTGCAGTTGGCGGAATGGTTGTTGATTGCCCCAAACAATGTGCGATGACAATTACCAACAGTTGTGGAACTGATTTAGTTATTGAGTGGGAGTTAGAGGTGCTAAATTAAACTATAGATAATTAGAAGAAACAGAAAGTGCGAACCAGGACGGATTCGTGAGAAAACATTAACGGGGGAATTTTAGTGACCGATAGACACAGCATTTCCCAATTGTCCGCGCTGGACGGAATGCAGCAGCGGGCCGCACGTGCGACAATCGTGGTGGGATTAGAGAGAAACGCTGTAATTCGGGGCTGCGACGGCACGCCGCTGCGTGTTGGGGCCAGTATACGGAGCCAACCGCCAGAAATCGGGCTTCCGGACAACTTCGGGACGGAGCGAGTTTGGGCCGAGGCGCGCCGCCGCCGTTGCCACGGGGCCACCGCTCCCCAGTCAGCCGGTGGACATGGAACTTCAAAGGTACGCGTGTACTCGTGCACGAACTTTTAAAGGCCTTGCGCATGCGAATGTGTAAGACGTTAATGTTATATAGCTGTGTTAATTATTAAAACCTCCAATTGCATAAATGAATTTCATTTGAATATCTTCATATGTTAGCGCCAATTATCCCCTGGAGACCCATTCACGAAAATTACCCGTCCTTTATATGATTTTATTTTGTCGTGAAAGTTACGTTTTCCCAGGTAACGTTCACAATACTATTATATATAGTATATATATATATATATATATATATTAATATATATATATAT